TCATTGCAAGCAAGCAGTATTTCTGTGTTTGAGTAAAACCTTACCAACAGATGGTCATTAGGGTCAAAAATTCCTGGGAGTGCCATTTTTTGAACAACTACTTCATCAGATTGTTCAACCTCCAGCAAAATGGCAAGTACATCAGACTCCATTTCATCACTGGCAACGAGTGAAGAGGTAAATGTGTAAAAGAAAGTTTATGAATGGTGAAAGTTTTGTAACTGTTTGTTACAAATCAGTAAAGGCATTTTGTCTTCATGGGCTCCCATAGAAGGAAACATGGCGTTCAACAGTGCGTCGCCCAGAGACTTAGGCCCAATCCCTATACTTGCACTGCACCCTGCGGTCTTTGGCAATGTGTCCTTGAAGGGAGTGTGCAATAAGGCTTTGAGTGTGTAGTACGTAAATGTGCAAACAATTGCAGAATTGGGACAAGGAGCATTGCTTCATCGACTGCATCACATGCCAGAATGCAGGTTGCTGTACTTTTAATAAAAACCTTTATTAAAGGGATACTAAGCAGTTTTGCTTGCTTTTAGCACCCCCTAGTGTCCGTTTGTAGAAGCTAAACTATCTCCTCGCTGTATGTTCATCTTTTTAACACCTTAATCTAACAGCTGAAACGTCTCCCAGCATTCCTAAAGCCGGGCGGACACTGTGCGACTTTTCCACTCGCAGCGTTCAGCTTCAGCTCAAACTGTACGACTTCCTCGCAGAGCAGATCTCACGAGTCATGTGCTCACACTGCACGACCCAGTTCTTGGATGCGACCTGACTGCTCACGCTGTACGTCTGGTAGCAACACGTCGAACCTAAAAAATGTGCTAAAAATAGCAGTTTTTACACGTCAGACTTTTTTGTCTTGTTTTGCCTGTTGTCCTTCGGGAGTGCTGCAGGAGGACACACAGGGATTTATGGGGGTTGGATGAGGAAACGAAATAAAGAAAGTAAATCTGTGTTTTGTGGTCAGTTTAATTTGACATGAACACGACAAACACGCTTTCTTGACAATCTTTGTGAGTAAAAAAACGTGTAGAAACAAAAACGAACAGCGTGTGTAATTAGGGAAATAGCGAGCGAGCGGTGTTGATGCAGGACTGCGCATGTGCCGTGAGCGGTTCTGGTACTTTTTGGGTCACAGCCGCTCGCTGCGCCGCTTCAACAGTGCGATACCCTCACGAGGGACGAGCGAAATTTCAAACATTCCAGAAGTCCGTGCTAGCTCACGATTGCTGATCGGCAGCTGGTCACGTGGTGCTAATTAGGGATGGGTATCGATTAGGTTTTATCCGATACCGGTGCCAAACCGGTACTTTTGAAATGGTACCGGTGCTCAAACGGTGCCGGAACCGGTGCTTAAAGAATGTAAAAATACACAAGTTTTCCAAAAACCTCTTATTTTATTTTTTGATATTTTGCCTTTGTAGATGTAATGAACCGTGACTGTGAGGAAATGGTCCTGAGCAACACTAGTCCATCCATCACAGGTGATTGCTACCTTGTTAACCTGAGCCAACTTCTGGATGAGGTTGCTTTTTTCAACAGAATACCATGCAGGTATAAATGTGTTGGACAGGTCGTCTCTGGATGGGGGCTGATACCTCGGATTAAGGGCAGTGCACATCGCCCTGAATAGAAACAAATAAATTTGAATTTAAATTGAAATGTAGTTATTTTTCCAAACAGATAAAAAAAGACTAAATAAAAACATGTAACCCACCCTTTATTTGTACCAATTATTAACAGAGCACTTGCAAAGCTAAACAGCTATGAACAAAACTATTTTTATATCAGAGCAATGCAACATTTTTACCTAAATGATGGTGACTCCACCGTTGAGAACGGTTGGAGATCTTTGACTACAAACGTCGTCACTGCCCTGTGTATTTCCTCCACTTTTTCTTTGGTCAATTTAGACCTCTTGGCCAGCGTGAAGGGAGTCTCTGCCAAAAAGAACGCAGCATGTAGCTACGACCGTGTTTGCTAGCTCACCCTACATGCATTCATTTAATAATGTGTGCTCAACGTATAATACACATAAACTACTTTAAGCTACTTACCCAAAGAAGAGCGGCTGCTGCTGCCGCCATCCTCTGTCAACTTTTCTGCTACAGCGGGAGGGGCTCGGCTGGGGCCAGGACGATTCTCCTCTCCAGGTTCTTCTGGGGGAACGTTGCTAAAGCTATCTCCAATACCGACAGTAGATGCGTTCGGTGGGAGGTTTCGCTGTTGCAAGCTATCAAACACGGTGCATGTCTCGGCTTTTAAAAAAATGCTATGCGTCACCAGGTGTTTCATTAAATTAGAGGTGTTACCTCCTTTACTGAGTATCACCTTGAAGCACCTGTTGCAGGTTGCTGAGTCTGCATCTTTTGCTGTGAAGTACAGCCACGCTTTCGACCGCTTCGCCTTCGGCATTTTGATAAATAATGTAGGTCCGCTCTAATTAAATACGCACTTGGCTGGGCCCGCCTACTATCACCGGAAAAGTAAAATGAGTGGCTACTCGAGTCCAAGATGATTGACATCTCCGAAATGAAGCACCGAAATCTGCGTTGCTTTTCGGTCTGGTTACTACCGTTTATGTCAGAACCGGTGCTATTAAAGTACCGAGTACCGGTACCCATCCCTAGTGTTAATCGCCTCTCGTAACGCCCTGTACACTACACGCCGCTCAGCTCAAAACTCGCCCCGATCTTGTGGATTCTCGCACGAGTGGAACATCGGCTCAAAAAAGTGAAAAAGTCGCACAGTGTCCGCCCCGCTTAAGTGTCTACAGGAGTGACTCATCACTAAATTAAACAAATCAGCTGTGCTCATGATCCAAAACATGCAGGAAACATGCTGAAGGTAGGTCAGCTCAATTTTTTCGAAGGCCCAGCAGACCAGACCAGCAACTGTGAAGTTGCAAGTGAGATACTCTGGCCACAGGGGGCGATAGGGGCTGGGTAGCATTTCATTAACCCTGTAGGGTCATTTTAGCACATACTGGCTCAAGAACATCATCTAAAAATATGAAAAAGTTGTCCCTTTAATAACTTTCAAACAAACAATTTATATTACATTCATTGCTGCTTTGTCTAAAACATTCAGAGCATCAATTCATCATCCTAAAATGAACTACTTTCAGTTGAAAATACATATTTTCAGAAAAGGCACTTGAGTTTTTTCTCTCACAGCAATAATGGATTGTGGGTAATACCCTTCACCCAAGTCCACATCGATGCCCTCATTTACAGCAACATGTTAGTGGATATTTCCAGAGATTAATAGTAAAAACTATACATTGTCACTTTAAGAAAGCATGAGATGAGTTTATTTATGTTAAGCCAGAACAAAGAACAACATTTAAGCTAAACGAGGTCATCTAAAACTCCCTGGAATATCTTTCACAATAAAACTTGTCCTGTAAACATTTCTTATTCATATCATGTATTGATCTGGAGTCAAACCTTTGTTTCTACTTTATCTTGGAGTGATTTTTTTCCCTCCTCTCACCCTCCAGAAAACCACCTCTCTGTAATCCCAGTAAGCTGAACAACTGCTGCAGATTTATCCGGTTAGCGCTTGTTAAAAAGAACAACAGCAAAACAAAGCTATTCTGAATAGAGCAGCAACTGTTGTTATAAATAAAGCGCTATTGAGGTTGGATTTGTTTATCATGGCTGTAAATCCTCCGTACCTTCTATTGCCATGATATTATTTTTTTTTAAAATGGAAGACCATCAAGCTAAAAGATAGCAGTTTGACTAAAAAAGGTCACCAGAAGCAGCTGTTCTAAAGGTTACAGAAAGTTAGGTAAAGGACACCGACCACAAGAGCTTCACAGCTGTTAAACTCATTCCCACTTGCCTCACTTACATAAATGTATCTGTACGTGCACTTGGCCAACCACTCGACAGCCTCTCCCCCTCATGCTACCTGTGGACTTAATTTACTTTGCTTAAGGATGATGAGCCCACTTGTGGAGGTGGAGTGCCCTCATAAGAGTCAGGTTAAGTAGCTAGAGGCTATCACCCCTTTGCAAGGTTAAAAACATCACATTATGCATCCCTTTCACCTGACTGGGCTCAGCTGTTAGTTGGTTCGTTTGTGCAGAAGGGCTGGATCCATCTGTTTGTGTTAGTAGGGTGTTACATTATCACAACACAAACAGTGAGTTTATTCAGCACACACACACACACACACACACACACACACACACACACACCCACAAACACAAAGGCCGATTAGTACCCAACCAAATGATCTTCATCATTTCATTGCCGTTGGCTAGAGCCTGGCCTTGATAACAACTGCTGATAGAGGTCACTCTACCTCACAGAGACAAACATGGGTGGACACACACACACACACACACACACACACACACACACAGCCACCTGATGGAGAATTAGTGGTCCACACATCTGTTAGGTCGCTGTGGTTGGAGCATCAGATAGAGGAAGAATTTTCCCACTAACTAGTGAACTGAGAACCTCTCAGACACAAGCCCACAGCCTGACATTGGGAGATTTCTAAAGGTGTCTCATTTCTCCAGAACCCACCATATTAGTTGCCTCTTGATTGCCTTGCCACAGTGCCAACAGCCTGTGAGACTGGGTCTCTAATGACAATGCTGTTTTCTTTCACGTCCTCAGCTCAAATCCTGCAAGACACATTAGTTTTGCTGGCATCCAGGCCCTGGTGAGGGGAAACGTTCTGTCTGTCTTCCTGAAACCCTGCATCTTTTCCTTTTGTCCCCCAAGTCTTTCCTTCCTCTTTTCTCTCCTCTCCATGTCTGCAGGTGGCTAAACATCTCTCCAGACACTTCATTAGTTCCAACAGCTCCTAAAGCTACAATGGTTTCTCTATGTCTGAAAACGTGCGTAAGACATTAAAGATCTGTTGGTTTGTAATTTGTGGTGGGAGACAAACATGTGCTAAAGAACTGTGTTTACTTCAGGGCTCAGTCGTGCGTGTGTGTGTGTGTGTGTGTGTGTGTGTGTGTGTGTGTGTACCTGTGGTATGAGGCGGTCTAGCTGACTGGATCTGTTCCTGTGTGATGGGTGTGTGGACAGCCACTCGGGCGAAGTCGGCGTTCCTGTGAGTTGATCTGCGAGTTCCATCTGCTGCCAGAACACTGGGCCTGCTCTCACATCTGCACATGCCTGGAAAGGACATATATACAATTTATGGAATCAGAAATACATGCACACACACACACACACAGAGAGAGAGAGAGAGAGAGAGAGAGAGAAAGAGAGAGAGAGAGAAAGAGAGAGAGAGAGAAAGAGAGAGAGAGAGAGAGAGAGAGAGAGAGAGAGAGAGAGAGAGAGAGAGAGAGAGAGAGAGAGAGGCCATCTCTGGTGCCAAGATGAACAGGTTTTTTAATTAACTCGGAGTTACATTTAGTTTGACAACAGTGCCCCCTATTGTCCAGTACTATGTTTGCTGGTTCTAATCAACCCAAATTCATTTATTGTCATTATGTTCAGTTCAGGAAATACTTAACTAAATAGTATCATGAATTTATAATGGCCAAAGAGGGATTTCATGTTCTTCTATTGTCTCGATTTGCATAAAAACATTTTTTGTTAAAGACGTGATGATGTGCAGGTCCTTTCAGGCATCGTGTGGAGCAAGTTAATTTCTGAAAATAATAATTTTTATTCACATAAATGTAACGTAAGGGATCCCATTGTCCGTATCGCTTTCATTTTTCTTTCCTTTTGCTGTTTTAAATGATCGATCATAGAAATTCTGCATGTATCAACAACATGGTAAGAACACATGAGTGTTTCAGGCACATTTAGTGTCTTTCAGAATAATAACCCCATGACATGAAAAACAAAACCAACTAAAGTTGTCCTGTATAAAATAAACTAAATAATTTGCCTTTTTAGGTGTTTCTAGAGTAAGTTATTTCCATCCCACTGGTGTAGTGACAACTGGTGATTATGCACCTTGGCAGCTAACTGCAGTCCAACTCGATCCGCCTCACTTTCCAGCTTCCGACTGTAAGGATGGTTGAACATCAGCTGCAGAGGGGAGAAAAATCAAGAGTAGATTTATGTCTAAGTGGGTAAAATTCAACAGACTCATACATCATTAAGCTTCAACTTTTTCAATTTGATTTATTTATCTTTCTATCAAACACATTGACACTTTCACGTCTCTAAAAACAACACCCAAGTGATGCTTAACGTCTCACCTCTGTGAGCTTGTCCTTCGCCCATCCTCCCAGCAATGCCAGGAAGTCTCCCGGACACAAGGCCCAGATGGCTGTCACCAAAATAAGAGACAGGAGGTCCACAATATGAGACAGGCTGGCCTGCTCTGCCTGGAGGGGGTTGATGAGTGACGAAAATGTAAGAGGCAGAAAAAAAAACACAACAATTAAAAGTTTTTGGGAGGGGAATGAGGCCGCTGGAACATATTGATTGTTCTCTTCTATTTTCTGAAACATTTTGGCCGTAACGGATTTAGAGGTTTTAGGAGCCAATCCAATACAGCAAACCTGCTCTGTAATGCCGAGCTCGTCGATGCTCATTCCCTTTGTCTAATTAAAATCTCCTCCAAGCATTTCCTTTGAGAGCGTTCTAAGACTTGAAATACCCACGACTTTTTTTAGAGGCAGCTTTAGAACAAAAACGGGAAGGGCTTTTTTTAACAGGAGTACGTTTTCTGGGGGAAAGGAGAACTGATGAATCATGATTAATGGATGTTTGGAGGTGATTGTCAGTGAGTCTTTTATCAGCAGCTGATGCAACAGCACTGTAACAGATGCTGCTTCACTCCATAGAAAACTCTGGAGATGCACCAAGAGCTGATTTATTTTTAGGTAGCAGTGGGGTATAAATAACAACACAACATTTCTGTATCAGTTTGAAAATGTGCACAAATAACAACTCACCTCGTAACAAACTATTTATGTGTAACAGGCTAAACTGCTGCCTGGCGTGGCTCTGGTGCTCCTTCAGTCACGACCCAAAGCTCATGACGCAGGTGTGTTAAATGTTAAATGATGTTTGGCTTCTTGGTGCTTATTTCATTCATGATTTTCTCTTTGCTGTTTTAGGTTTGCTATTGTTTCTGGTGTTTTGTACCCTGGACCTCGAGTTTTGCTCCTCGTCCCACTAATCACCTGCCCCTGCATTTACACACCTTTGGTTAATCGGCTCCTTGTCAAATCTTACTGTTGGCCTCCCTGTGATTTTTTTCTGTTAAGAGTCTTTGTATGCTAGTTTTGACGTTATTTTGTCTTATACCACCTCAGCCCTTTCCCCCCATTATTAAACATTTTCAGTTTGTACAGAGCCACCTGACTCCTTCGTCTGCTGTGGTTCATTTTAACACCATCGCCCATGGCAAGATGAAGGCTGGAACATGGACTGTGGTTCAAACTTTTTGCCTTCAACACGATATACCAGTTCAGCATGCACCTGCAGACCTAATCCACCCATTGCTCAATTTTGCCTTCACTTGTGAACCAAACGTCAAAAAACTTAACCTCCTGAACTTGATGCAGGACCTCTCCCTCGACCCAGTGTAGGTGGTCTATCCAGCTTAGTTAAGGATCATAGCCTTAGAATTGGACGTGCCAAGCTTCATCCCAGCTGCTTCACACTGAGCTTTAAACCTTCTCAGTAAGAGCAGCAGGTCATAGTCAGAGGACACCAAGAAAACCATGTCCTCCACACAAAGCAGAAATGAGACCATCACTCCAACACTTTCTATAGGAATTATGACAGTTCTGCACAGAATCCTGGTGGAGTACCACTCATAGGGAAAAGGCTGCTGGTTGAAAGAAGCAGACTCACGCGTTTGGTACAGAGCCTGAGTGGTCCATCCACTCCATTCTTCCTTAGGACTGTGTTCCTCACAGTCATCTTGTGGGACACAGCCATAGTCGAGATCCACAAAACACACAAAATGGTTGGGAAAACTCCCATATCCATTCCAGCACCCTAGCATGGTTAAAAAGCTGATCCGTGGTTCAACAGTCGAGATGAGAACGATATCGCTCCACTTTCACTCAGACATTACTTTCATTTGAGGGAAGCAGGTTGTTCTTACATTTTCTGCTATTTAGAATCTGTTCTATGTTTTCTGTTTGCAAGCTACACTTTAAACCTTTGAACTGAGATATTTTATTCGTGTACTGAATGCTAACAACTAGACCTAACTGAACTAAACCTAAACTAGAAAGGTGTAAGAAATATCCGTTCAGCAAATCAAACCAAAGGAAATCCAGCTTGACCCAGAAACAAGGTCGCAAAATAGAAAAACGGCAGTTCTGTACTTACAGAGTGTTCCAGTATAGCATGTGCCATTTCATGTCCTAGGACAATCATCAGCTGGTCAGTATCTGCTACAGCTTCTAACATCCCAGTGAACATGAATACTTCCCCATTCTGCAAATATATATGCATATATTACATTATATTTTAGATGCATGTTTTCTACAGATATTGTAATTAATTGTCACATTTGCAAATGTATTATTGCTATTTTTTACTTACTGGAAGTACAAAGGCGTTGATTTGGGGACTTTCCACCACATGGACACTCCAGGGGACTTCAGACACTTGAGGGATGTCCTTGTTTCTTTGTACAAGGAGCTGAACCGACTGTTGCACCATCTGGTGGAGAGGGTGAGAGTCTGGGAGCAGGCTCTCTGCAAACTCCTCCAAGTGCTGGAGCACAGAGACCAATATTAGAAATCATCTCATCTGCCATTTACACAAATTCACCCCCCAATGTTAAATTAATCATGTGCAGAGAACTTTACTGCAATGATCAAAGTAAGACCTTAAAAGGCGTATAATTTATTACTGTTTGACCTTTTTCTATCTCACCATCTCTGAAGTGAGGACAGCCAGCTCCCTGTACTTTTCTCTGCTGAACACCAGGAGGCGGACACGTCCCGTCAATGGGGACTCATCCAGGTGTGTTAGGAGTAGAAGGGCTATAATCACCAAGGCAGCTCCTCCACCTGCTGCAAAATGCCAGCGATGCTTCCGGACCCATTCACGCATGAGCTGCCTGCGATTCTGTGGTAGAACCCTCCACCACTTCCTTATGCTCCTGCACACAGGGGGAAGCCGTCAGGTTAGTTTTATACTCATGTGTAGCTCATAAAGCCTCATGCAACAGGTCTAAAATCCGAAACTGGCCAACGCTGACAACAAATGTTGGGACAACAAGCATTTGTGGGTTTGACAGCTGTTTTTCCTCACAGTTTCTTTTTGTGCTTTTTTATGATTACCAACCTGTAATGAAAAAGGAAAGGTGTAGGGCTAAACACGTGTGTACACCTTCTACCTACCTCCCTTCCCTTTCAAACATACATATGTAAATATGCATTATGAATATCACTGATTGTGAATGTTTGGGGGGAAAAATGTTTTCTAAATCATAAAACGGTGTTACATGATAATATAGGTTTACAGTCATTTTGCATGTCGACATACCTGCCCAGTAGTATGGCAGCAAGTTTCTGTAGAGGCTTGAGAACCATCCAGAGGAGAGGGACAGGAAGAGCCCTTCTGGGGACCGAGGTGTGGATGTGGTGTCCCCCGTGTATGACATGAGGACACACCGTCCACGCTTTGCCACATGACTGTCTAGTTGCGATCAGTCTCAGATGAGTAGATATTGTTTGAAAGTTAACGTAAGAGCAAACCGGACGATTCTCTCTCACTTGACGTGTCATTTGTTTACTTACTTGCAGGCGAACAGCGAAGCGACTGTTTCTTAAAACGTTACCGCAAAGTAAAGCCATTGTTCTGACCTATGGCCGGGCCACTTACAACAGCAAGAGGACTAAAATGTTCGTGAAGATAAATAAAAATAGCTAACAAGGAATTTTAACAGTTTAGGTCATGTTCACTCAAAACTTCCGGGTTTCTGTCAAAGTCATCGACGAGCTCGTAACCTTGGTTACCAGTTTCCGCGGTACCGTGAATCCAGCGGGGTCCTGCGCCTACAGATGATGTCACACTACGGCAAAGCCACTCGGACAAAATACATATCACATCTTTTTAATTTACATTTTGACATACATTTCCGTTTACAGTACAGCATGCATTTAATAATAAACCGAAAATTACATAAATTACAACAGAACTCGTATGAGGAAAACATGTTTACATAGAACATTGCAACATGACAATAAACTAATAAATAAGTTAATAGTCACAAAGGTTGACGTCTCAGCATATTTCTTGTGTGGTTGATACATTGGACTGTAACTTAAAGAACAAGAGACTCGGACATTGTTTTGTACATCACAGTTATAGATTAAAGGTATTATTGGAAATTAACTAGAGATGTTTTATATTAGTTAATTTAATTTTTGAAATAGTTTGTTAGGCTTGCTGTTTTTCCATGTATTCGTATGTATATGGTCCCCATAATGAAAATAACGTACGTATACACACACACACACACACACACACACACACACACACACACACACACACACACACACACACACACACACACACACAATTTTCACCATTTTGGGTATCTTTTTGGTAGACTATCCATGAATATCATCACCTGAAATTTTGTTAAACCAAACATCATTGATTTTAAAATGTAACCTTCGATAAACATCCTCCCAAAATCCCATTAAGAAAAAAAAGTGTTCAATTGTTTCACATTTTGCCTTACAGAAAACACACTGGTTGACTCTAAATCTTTTCCTTAGAGTTTCAACAACAGGATATATATTATGTATTAGTTTGAATTGAGTTTCATTATCTGTGATTTTTATTTTAGTTGATTTTTCAAAATAATAGAATTTTTTTAAACATACTTTCAAATACTCTGTTATTACACTGTTGTTCACCAAATTTCAATCACCAATTTTTAACTCGAAGCTTAATATATAGACACAGCTGAGTTAGTGAGGATAATTTTATTAATCATGTATTTTAAGAGATGTGGAATAACTCTGGTTTGATTAAATTATAGAACTTGTAAGATTAAACTTTTCGACCAAAAACTAACTTGTAACAAATTACAATTTTTATTGATCAAATCCGTCACATAGATTCATTTTGTCACATCATTCTTTAGTATTCCTGTTAGATGCTATGGCTCTTTTACTCCACAAGGTGGTGCTATGCGGAGTAAAGAGAGAAAGAAAGAAAGAAAGAAAGAAAGAAAGAAAGAAAGAAAGAAAGAAATCTTTTATATAGGGCCTCCCAAGATAAAAATAAATCACGAGGTGCTTCACAAAAGCAAACAAAATTAAAAGGTTAAAGTATAAAAAAAACATTAAAAATGTTTACAATGAGAAAGAAACTGTGATTTAAAAAAAATGTAAAGAAAGGGAGAGAGGAAATGAATAGGAGAGGGAAGGGAAAGGCGGAATAAGAGCAGAGTTGTGAATGAACATCATTTTCCAGTAGAGCAGTATTTGTTTATGGAAGTCAGATAGTTTGATCGTTTAGACCAGGGGTGTCAAACTCATTTTAGCTCAGGGGCCACATTGCGAGAAATCTAGTCCCAAGTGGGCCGGACCGGTAAATTAAAAACAACTTCAGATTGTTTTCTTTGTTTTAATACAATCAATATAAAACAAGGCTGGAGCCTGAGGACAGTGTAGTACAAGTACAACACCTGAAGTGTACTTGAAAATTTGAAATTAATAAAAAATCAATCAATAAATAAAAATTCCTTAGTGATTCAAAGAGCTTACAAGTCACATGGCTAGACCAGTTTCATGCAGCACTTAAAGTATATTTGACTCATTTTACTTTACATCTTTTAGCTTTCACCAGCACATCAACATCAGAAGTCACATCCTGAGTGGCGGCCATCTTCAGGATGTGATTCAAGTTCTTGTGTGAGCCTTGAGCGCAGCTTTGTTTCATTTATACTCATTACAGAGAAAACTTGCTCACAAAGATAAGTTTATTTTCACTCTACATTGTAAAGTATGAAAATAAAGTTTACACAACCATCTCGCGGGCCGGATTTAACCCGTTTGCGGGCCGGATTCGGCCCGCGGGCCGCATATTTGACACCCCTGGTTTAGATATTTTAAAGTCACATCTTAACAAAATCTCTAATCCTCCAAACATTTTGGGAAATATATTTTTGGGCATTTGAAACCATATAGAAGTTGGTCGTGTAAAAAAAAAGCTTTTATCCAGTTTAGTTTTAGTACACCAATCATGGCTTCAAAATCAGCAGCTTTTAAGCCACCATGTTTGTAGTCTTTACACATAACACTTTTTAATGTCTTATTCTTCCATATGAAATGGAAAATTATTGAGTTTTTAAATAATTTGGGGGGGGGGGGGGGGGAAACATAAAGAGATCGACAAAGATATACTAATTTTGATAAACCTGTGGTGAGATGGTGTTCCACTCTCCTGCATGTTGAGCAAGGTCAAGGTAACTTTATTAATACCCACAGGTAAATTTGATTTGCCATGTGACACGAGAATTAGCGCCCAGTTTACACACAGATACACACAGCCACAAAGCACACACATCAATGAAGAATAAACAATAAGTAAAAAAATAAATAATAATAATAATAATAAAGAGCACCTGATTGAGGGGCAGGGCAGGTGGGAGAAAGGGAGACACATTGCTGACTGTCTTTGGCTGTCTGTGTCAGCTGCTTGTATGGTGTTGTGAGATCTACTTGTGGTGATCCGATCGGCTGTGCTGGGTTCGGCGGCTGTAGTCAGGAGTGTGTGGGCTGCACAGCTTCCACCTGTTTACCTGCTGGTCCGCTTCCCTCTGTAGGCTGTAAGGAAAACCTCTGGTACTTTGAGTGTTGGCGCACTGGACACTGTTGCTGTTTTCCTTTGTTCTGGTTGTCCGCACCATCCTGCTCCACGGACGAGTTTAAAGGAAGCGTTCAGCTCGCTTTAACAGCAGGTGGTGGATAGTGAACACCAGGAGCTTAGAAAAGCACAGGATTTCTGTCTCTTTTGTTGATTTTTGCACACATTTTTTGTGTATTTATCTTTATTCTGTGTAGACGAGAGCAAGCTGTGGTTCAGTGAAGGACTGCAGCCTAAACAACTAGAACACTGTGGTTGAACTGAGAGCCTACAATGTCAACTGTGTAACTGTGTGTTAAAATACCCAAGGGTTTGTTACAACCCCACGTGGCTCTTTTAGGAGTCTGGGGCATGGTGCAACATAAAGAGACGTTGTAAATAAAAGCAAAATAGCTTTATTTAGTGGTCTCAGGGTATCTAAACCATACAAAGAAAGTCCGTTCCCCCGCCCCCCACCCTTCTAATTTGAATAACACTAAACCAAAATGTCTTTCCCATGGATTTACGAAGTGGGGTGAAAATCATGAGACTCTGTAAAGATTACTAAAAGGAGATCATGATTCATTAGGGTTAAACTAATACACTTCAGATCTGTCACAAAACAGAAGAATATAACTGAGGAACTACCAGAAACTTTCTGCATTGTTGGTTCTTTTTTAAAACACAAAAGGTTTCTTTTTACCTTGCTGACAGTTTCCTACAGGAGTAGGAAGTGACGTCACCATCAGCATCAGCTCTGAGGAAGTTTTGCAGTCGGCAAACAAAACTGTCAGCAAGGTAAAAAGAAACCTTTTCTGTTGTAAAGGACGGGTCGTTTACATCTTACTTATGAACCATAAAATGTGAGATTCCATAGAAATATGAAATATCAATCTGATGGATCTTTGAATATTTTAACCAGAAGATCAGAAATTTTTATTGCAGGGATTAAGCGACACTTCGTATTAACGCCAAGGAAAGAGAGTCTCGTCTCGTCTCGTCTTCCTCCGCTTATCCGGGTCCGGGTCGCGGGGGCAGCATCCCAACTAGGGAGCTCCAGGCCGTCCTCTCCCCGGCCTTGTCCACCAGCTCCTCCGGCAGGACCCCAAGGCGTTCCCGGACCAGATTGGAGATGTAACTTCTCCAACGTGTCCTGGGTCGACCCGGGGGCCTTCTGCCGGCAGGACATGCCCGAAACACCTCCCCAGGGAGGCGTCCAGGAGGCATCCTGACCAGATGCCCAAACCACCTCAACTGGCTCCTTTCGATCCGGAGGAGCAGCGGTTCTACTCCGAGTCCCTCCCGAATGTCCGAGCTCCTCACCCTATCTCTAAGGCTGAGCCCGGCCACCCTACGGAGGAAACTCATTTCGGCCGCTTGTATCCGCGATCTCGTTCTTTCGGTCATTACCCAAAGCTCATGACCATAGGTGAGGATTGGGACGTAGATCGACCGGTAAATCGAGAGCCTGGCTTTCTGGCTCAGCTCCCTCTTCCCCACGACAGATCGGGTCAGCGTCCGCATCACTGCAGACGCCGAACCAATCCGCCTGTCGATCTCCCGATCCCTCCTACCCTCACTCGTGAACAAGACCCCGAGATACTTAAACTCCTCCACTTGAGGTAGGACCTCTCCCCCGACCCGGAGGTGGCAAGCCACCCTTTTCCGGTCGAGAACCATGGTCTCAGATTTGGAGGTGCTGATCCTCATCCCAGCCGCTTCACATTCGGCCGCGAACCTACCCAGCAAGAGCTGAAGGTCAGAGCTGGATGAAGCTAGGAGGACCACATCATCCGCAAAAAGCAGAGACGAGATTCTCCTGCCACCAAACTCGACACACTCCACACCACGGCTGCGTCTAGAAATTCTGTCCATAAAAGTGATGAACAGAACCGGTGACAAAGGGCAGCCCTGGCGGAGTCCAACCCTCACTGGGAACAGGTCCGACTTACTACCGGCTATGCGGACCAAACTCACGCTCCTCTGGTAAAGGGACTGAATGGCCCTTAACAGAAAGCCACCCACCCCATACTCCTGGAGCGTCCCCCACAGGGTGCCCCTGGGGACACGGTCATAAGCCTTCTCCAAATCCACAAAGCACATGTGGATTGGTTGGGCAAACTCCCATGCCCCCTCCATCACCCTTGCAAGGGTATAGAGCTGGTCCACAGTTCCACGGCCAGGACGAAAACCACATTGCTCCTCCTCTATCTGAGATTCAACTATCGATCGGACCCTCCTCTCCAGTACCTTGGAGTAGACCTTTCCAGGGAGGCTGAGGAGTGTGATCCCCCTATAGTTGGAACACACCCTCAGGTCACCCTTCTTAAAGATGGGGACCACCACCCCGGTCTGCCACTCCCTAGGAACTGCCCCCGATGACCACGCAATGTTGTAGAGACGTGTCAACCATGACAGCCCTACAACATCCATAGCCTTAAGATACCCAGGACGAACCTCATCCGCCCCCGGGGCTCCGCCGCTGTGTAGTTGTTTGACTACCTCAGCAACTTCTGCCCCCGAGATCGGACAGTCCATCCCCAGGCCTCCCAGCTCTGGTTCCTCCTCGGAATGCGCATTGGTGGGATTGAGGAGCTCCTCAAAGTATTCCTTCCACCGTCCGACTATAGCCTCAGTTGACGTCAGCAGCTCCCCATCCCCACTGTAAACAGTGTGAGCGAGTTGCTGCCTTCCTCTCCTGAGGCGCCGGACAGTTTGCCAGAACCTCTTTGGAGCCGATCGATAGTCTTTCTCCATGGCCTCACCAAACTCCTCCCACGCCCGAGATTTTGCCTCGGCAACTGCCACTGCTGCACCCCGCTTGGCTATCCGGTACCTGTCTGCTGCCTCCGGAGACCCACAGACCAGCCACGCCCTGTAGGCCTCCTTCTTCAGCCTGACGGCTCCCCGAACCTCTGGTGTCCACCAGCGGGTACGGGGGTTGCCACCACGACTGGCACCGGCCACCTTACGACCACAGCTAGCAACAGCCGCCTCGACAATCGCAGAGTGGAACAAGGCCCACTCGGACTCAATGTCCCCCACTGCTCTCGGGACGTGGTCAAAGCTCTGCCGGAGGTGGGAGTTGAAGACCGTCTTGACAGGTTCTTCTGCCAGGCGTTCCCAGCAGACCCTCACTATGCGTTTGGGTCTGCCAGGTCTACGCGGCATGTTCCCTTGCCATCTGATCCAACTCACCACCAGGTGGTGATCAGTTGACAGCTCCGCCCCTCTCTTCACTCGGGTGTCCAAAACATACGGTCGCAGGTCAGATGATACGACTACAAAATCTATCATCGACCTGTGACCTAGGCTGCCCTGGTACCAAGTGTACCGGTGGGCATCCTTATGTTCGAACATGGTGTTCGTTATGGCCAAACTGCGGCTTGCACAGAAGTCCAATAACAAAACACCGCTCGAGTTCTGATCAGGTGGGCCGTTCCTCCCAATCACACCCCTCCAGGTCAAGCTGTCATTGCCCACGTGAGCATTGAAGTCCCCCAGCAGGACAATGGAGTCCCCTGATGGAGCACTATCTAGCACTCGTCCCAGGGACTCCAAAAAGGGTGGGTACTCTGAACTGATATTTGGCCCATAAGCACAAACAACAGTCAGGACCCGTTCCCCGACCCGAAGGCGCAAGGAAGCTACCCTCTTGTCCCCCGGGGTAAACCCCAACACACAGGCAGAGAGTCTCGGGGCTAACAAAAAGCCAACCCCAGCCCTCCGCCTCTCACCCGGAGCAACTCCAGCAAAGTAGAGTGTCCAACCCCTCTCCAGGTCTCGGGTTCCAGAGCCAATGCAATGTGTCGAGGTGAGTCCGACTATATCTAGCCGGTACCGCTCAACCTCTGCCACAAGCTCCGGCTCCTTCCCCGCCAGCGAGGTGACGTTCCATGTCCCAAAAACTAGTTTCCTTGTCCGGGGATTGGACCGCCAAGGCTCCCGCCTTGGTCTGCCACCCGATTCACATTGCACCGGACCCTTCATGTTCCTCCTGCGGGTGGTGGGTCCACAGTTGGACGAGCCCATGTATCCGGTTCGGGCTGGGCCCGGCCGGGCCCCATGGGCGAAAGCCCGGCCACCAGGCGCTCGCTCACGGGCCCCAACCCCAGGCCTGGCTCCAGGGTGGGACCCCGGTAACCCTCCGGGCCGGGTACTCCGACTCTTCGTTTTCACCACCATGAAAGATCCTTCGAACCGTTCTTTGTCTCACCCTTCACCTAAGACCAATTTGTCATGGGAGACCCTACCAGGGGCACTAAGTGCCCCAGACAACATAGCTCCTAGGATCATTAGGGCACTCAAACTCCTCCACCACGATAAGGTGACGGTTCAAGGAGGAGGGAACCCTCCTCCTTGGAAAGAGAGTGTCATGTTTAAAATAGTTAAGAAATTTATTTCGACCCAATTTAACCACGACTAACTTAAACACTCTGTGTACTGATGGACTAAGGTGGAGTGAGACGTGATGAATGATGATGGTGTGTGTGTGGAGTGTTATTCAGAACCAGCGGATCCAGTGAAGCAGTTAGTTCTGAGTGGGAGTGAATGTTTCACTCTAAACATAATGTAGGAGATTTATAACACACATGAAGCACCATCCGTCGGTCTACGTACCCCAGGGGAAGCCTCCGTCAGATCCAGAATGCCGAGGTCCTCAAGGACCCTCCTTGGTACCGAAGCCGGTAGGAAAGCAGCGGTGCCGACCAAACTGGTCTTGGAATGTGTCCAGGTCACGACAGGTTATCACTGGCGTCTCCGAGACCCTGAAGGGGTCGTGAGGTTCAGCTTTTATTCTGAAGGATCCGTTGCGATCAGGTGTAACTGCAACAGATTTTATCCAGCTTGTCGAGGTTCTTTATGGCTGAAGAGGAAGTCCGGATGGCCGGTCCGAGACTTCTCTAGAACACTTTGAACTAAAGAAAAGGTGGCGTGGAATACTTTTTATAACTGTCATATTTTGGTTAACTGGCGAATCAGAATTTGACATGCAAAAGAGGGTTTATACAAACACCACAGATAACCACGCCCTGCACCAGAAACCAAGGTTCTGATTGGATCAGACAAAAGGAAATGTGTCGTGAGGCTTTAGCATTTCTTTAGTGTCTAGCGTAAAAGTGGTCACTAAAAGTAAAAAAGTAATATTTAAAACATTTAGGGGAGGGAAAGTCCTGAAGGTGGTTGTTATATTTGTTCATGAAAGATTTGAGCCAATGACTCCAGTTTAGATGCAGCTAACTGGTTTCTGTGCTTTAATCTGCTCACCTGCTCAGTGACCTTTTTTTGTTTGTAACTGGAAACTACAGACTGTAAAATTCAACTACATATTTTTACATTCAATTTCCTCACAAACTACAAGCACACTCCCCTTACATAGAACACTAATGTATGCAGCAGTTTGGGATAAAAATGCTCCTGGTAGCAAAGAAACACAACAAACTTCAAAATATAAAAAATAGAAATTTATTGCTAGAAAAGGAACTGATAACATGTTTTCTATCTCCAGCAGGCTTGGTTTGCCGTCACTCTGAGGACTCATAACTGATATAAAATACTGTACCCTTTGTAGAACACCACCTTCACCCGACTCTAATGTCCGATCCTAAAACCCGAAAACTGCCCGACTTCTAAATTGTTTTCACAAATTTGGCAAAACAACAACTTCAACACACCCAAAATCACAGACAAGTCTGTTGATTTCTGGGAGTTGAATGACAAATTACAAATGGAATAAAATGTCACATACCGTAAAACTACATTAGAAAGTGGATAATACTGATGCTAAATCTCAGTGTATTTACAGAGCAAATTGTTATATTAATAATAAGATGTTAACCAGAACCTGTTTTGTTAGTTATACAACTTTTCACAGTAAATAGTCATGCTCAGTTGATAAAACAGAACCTAGATGCAATATGGTGGAGCTGTCTGTCTCGACTCCTCCTCCCTCTTCTTGGGGCCTGTCCTGACAGATCAGCTGATCAAAAGGGACGTCTTCTGACTCCACAGTCTTTGATGAAATATCTAAAGGTTTTCTTTCTTCTAAATCTGAGGATTGCTGCTTGGAAATGAAATCTGTCAAGAAAAGGGCCTGGATCTGAGTGAGAAACAGGTCTCCCTCCCCATCTGGAAGGGGCTCCGTGTATCTTGCCAAAGATGCTAACATCTAGAAAAGAAAGAAAAGTACATCTAGTAAAAAGAAGCAAATATTTTGTACGTGCAGTAAAGCCATCAAACTGACCTTCTCCAAACAGGTGAGATTTGACTCTCTCCGAAATAATCTGTCCATTTGGACACTCCTGCTCAAACAGAAAGAAGAACAACACTATCGTTTAGACACCACACCAGAATAGTTACATAATGCATGAAGATCACAGCATCATGCGTGTTCTGGTCCCGTCTCTCGCTCACCCGGGTGCCTGAGCGTATTTCTGGACAATCCACTGAGCCCTCCTCATGGTCTGATCCCAGTCAGGGACATCTTGTGATGTCAGAAAGCTGAATCTGTAAGGCAGCTCTGTGGAGGACAGAGACTCTGGGACTAAGAACACAAATCACTGACGTACACCGTCGGTTTGATTTTAAAGCCTCTTGATCTAAACCGTTTAGAACATTTGCGTCATGTCTCCGTCTGTGTGTGTGTTCGACGTACTGTTGGGACTGGAAGCCTCCTGGCTCTCTTTTACCAGCAAGCAGGTGATTTGGGAGTGGGGGGAGGGGTTGGCTGGGTCATACGGGCTCACTATCACCCCTATGAAGGGGGCTCCGCCTCGGGAAAAGTAGCTCTGGATCAATCAGGATACGGAGAATCAGACACGTCCACATGCAGAACCCTGCGTGAGTTATCATCTTACTCTACCTGGAACTGATCCTGTGTGTTTATGTCTCGTACCGAGGGGTTCGGCTGGAAGGACGGGTGTGAGTGGTACCAGCCCACTACACCGAGGCCCAGGGACGCCAACGTGTCACATGCCTGTGTCTGAGACACCGGGTCCATCTCACACTGTAGACCTGTGCTCACACTGTTGCAAGGCTCTGCAGCACAGATCTACACACAAAATCCTAAATTAGTTTCCACACATTTCTCTTTTCATTCAGTTTTCACTACTCGTTAGCTCTTGTGATTGCCACATCTCTTTACCTTCAGTACTTTAGCTTCCCCACTGAATGTTCCTCCCAGCAGGCCGATGATTTCCCCCCGTGACACGTGAGCGTGCTTAATGCAGGATCACAGGACATTTATTCAGCGCAGAATAAATAAAACCATATGAATGTAATAGAGTGACGGGTGAAACAGCAAAACAACAATGGGATGAGGCTGTGTGCAGCAACTACCATGTCCATGATGAGGAGAGTCTCGGCACACACAACGACCTGAAACGGCTCCTACAGATCACACACAAGTATTTATATAAATTAACATGAATCTGTCATAATATTTCTTTAATTCTGCAGAACCTGGTGCAAAATATTTGATTCATTATAGATTTTATGAAACACACATTCATGCAATTTATAAACAGCCTTCTTCTGCCACCCGAAGAGTGCAGACGCTCCTCTTTTCTCACGGCTCTTGTCCTGTCTGTCTACAGAGCGCTTCTCTGCATTCCTTCTGTAAACTCGATATTTTATTAAATCATGGATTTGGTCGACTGGTCATTCAACAGGATTGACAAGATTTTTTTTTCAACAGTGAGAACAGAGTGGGGGTCTCAGCTTGTCCGGATGGATCGCACCCAGTGGGGTATATTCTGGATTCCTGGAAGCAGTGGAATATTATATGCCTTTCTCAGCTGTCTGTGGAGGACGTTGAAGACATATGGATTATTGGCCTGATATTTACTGGATTTTTTTCCAATTGGAATGGGATGATTTGTGGTATTTTGGAAAATTGGGAATTCAGGGGCGATTGGAGTGCCACCCGTACCCACCGAAAGTCTCAGCCGTGTGGAGACTGCTCAGACTGGGACGCAGCTCAAGGGGAATCACAAGTTAGAGGTCCAAGCTGCGATCCCAGAGTTAGCGCACAAAATGGATGTGATCTTGGAGAAAGTCACTGCACGGTACAGGCAACTTTAAACCCAATAATTGGATTTGCTGAGAGACTGAAGATCAGTTAAGAACTGAAAGGCAGAGAGGAAATTATCTCTACCTTCCCCAAAACAATTCTTCACTCTGGTGCCCTGGTAGCCTTGAGCTGCGAGAAGAAAACTCCTCCACGAAGGAATGCAGACAGATGCTGTGGAAACCCGCCCTACCCCTGCCTTTAGATTTGTGGTCTTAGCCTGGCAAGGTCACCAAAGGTAGGAGTCAATGTGCTTCACTCCCTCGCTCTCCCTCCAACCTGCGTACAACAGCGATCGAGCGAAGGCACTGAGGCTGCGGCTCTCTCTGGAGGAAACAGGTTTCCAGCCCAGCTTACCAATGAGGACGAAACGATTGTGGTAAATTTGCAACTTCCTGCTGATTTACACCTAAATGTTAGGTCGTTTTGGCCGACACGTATTAAAGTGAACCTTGAGCATTTTTGCAAACACATAGCCTGTAAAATGATTTGATCTCTGAGAAGCAGAAAACAAAAAAGTATTTCAATCTTATCACAGCGTACCAAACGCATACAAACAACAGCCTAACTGGTAACTCGGTGAGGACTGCTGACCTGTACGTCGTCTTCAAACGACCTGCAGGGAATCAGCTGGAATGGATCTAAAGACCTAACAGAGGAGTAAATCATCAGTAATGTTTATTCATAGTTTATTACTTCTTCCATTACGTTGCTCACCATCTGTATTTTGACATCTTGCAGGGTTTAGGGTGCTTCCTCATCTCCTCCCTCCTCAAAGCGAGCTCCTTAGCACCGAGATGCTAATAAACACATTGCACAAATACAATCAGCAGAAAGACCCTTGTCAATTCAGCCAGGTGGAAGTTTTTTCATGTTTCAAAGTCCAAACCTCGTATGTCTGTCCTTCCAAATCTTTAGCATCACACCAGTTCCCCCAGATGTCGCGCACACGCCTCCTCCTGGTCCGCTACAAACCATCAAACGTTAGCTCGAGTCTGCCACACCTTGGTGGTGACGGTTTGGTGCTTTAGCGTGTTCCTACCATACTCTGGAGTCTCTGAGCCAGCTGATAGGCTTCCAGCACGTCTTTGCCCTCCTTGTGTTTGGAGCGGTCCACCACTTTGGGGCGATTATACACTGCTTGCTCTACAAGGATTCAAACATCAACAAATGTTAGAGGGAAACACAACAACAGGAGTAAACATGGGAGGGGGGGGGGGTTACCACAGTTGAAGTTGATTGCCCCAATGAGCTCCAGGTAGGTGTGTATTCTCCCGATGCAGTTGACATCCCCACAGTTCTTCAGACCAGGACGGACTGAGGTCTTGTTGAGGTACTTGGGTTTATTTTTCAGCCTAATGGACACAAAACATAAAAAGTCACTTCTGTAGAAGTCCGTTCTCAACCTGGAAACTACCAGCCATCCTTCCTTCCCCAACTGGGAATCATCAAACTGGACCTGCTTGTTCAACAACATCAGAGCTATTCCTTTGCTGGTCTCATAACTTCTCATTCTGTGACTTTAGTGTAGGTGTGTGTGTTTGTGGTACCACTGATCCAGGATGTAGTTTCTAATCTTAAGATATCTTTCTGGGGTTTTGGACGGTCGTCCCTCAAAGAACTCTGGGATGGCTTGTTTCTCGTCCTCAGTGATCGTCTCTGTGTCCATCTGAATTTCTCGCTCAGGGGCTTTGAGCTCCTCCTCTTCCTCGTCTTCATAGTCTTCCTCCAGCTCCTTTTCCGATTCGTAATTTTCAATCTTATCATTAGAGTCTACGAGGCAATACATTTTATTTTACAGATGAACACAAATAATAATTCAATAAGCAAAAAAGAAAAACTGATAGTGGATCACCTGTGCAGGTGTGATCATCTTCACCTAGCTGAATGTCACACAGAGAACTCTGACCTTCGTTTGCCTCAGCCGTCTCCTCTGGAGGGGTTTCTGTCTCTATAGCCTTCTCAGTTATCCTCAGTTTGTCACCTTCATCATTGCAAACTAAATCAGAAAAGCCCAGAGGACTTTGTAGAGGAAGAGAGCTCTGGCAGGGTTGGTCCTCTGTCTCATGAACGTTCTCCCCCTCACTCAGGTCTGATTCTGTTTGTTCTTCTTTAGGCTCTTCTGAATCACAGAATCCAGTTTGGACAACTCTCCCTTCATCCTCACTCTGGTTATCAGTGATGTCTACATCCTCATCGTCAGAAAGTCTCTCTATGCGAACAGCGTTGGACAGAACAGAAGCACAGACGGAGGCTGGCGGAGGAGGGTGTGAGTGCAGGTCAGGACCTGCAGACGAAGCAGCAGCTTTGGGTTCGGGTTTATCCTTAAGTGGGAATACAAAAGAAAAGTAAATAAAAGATGTGTTTGCACATCCAGCTAAGCAACGAAGACAGTTCACCTTTTGCTTGAAATGCTGTCTGGCATAACTCTTGACCTGAAGAACACTACGGGTGCCCACCAGCTTGGCAATTTTAGTCCACCTTCGACCAAATTGGGCCTGCAAAAATAAATAAAAGAAAAAAGAGAAAATCAGTTTCTTGAAAAATTATCTGAACCTGCAACAAAACAGCAGATTATAATCTTAATTTCAGACATTCAGCTCAGCTGAGTAAAAAAAAAAACCTCACCAATCCTTCCTCAAAGCGCTCCTTTTCCTGTTTTGACCAGCGAGACGATGAAGCGGACATTGAGGTTGAGTTCTTGGATAGAGACCTTATCGTTCAACAGAAAGGAGAATCAATACTTACCAACAGACTCAGGAATCAGTGAACAGATAAGGAGAAATGCAGAGAGACTTACTTCTTCACTTTAGGCTTTTTGTTAGAATCACTGTGCAGAATGTTGTCAGGAACCGCCTTACCTGTGAGGTAATATCTGAAGTCACAGTTCAGGATGTCTGCTATCTGCTTTAGTCCATGTTTTCCTTTATGTGAGCTGTTGACTAAAACATTTTAAGCTATAGGTAACAACAAAAAGGGAGAAAAAAATGAACCCTAGTTAATGTAAACATTTCTTTAGTTATTTTATACTCAAAAGAAAAAATGTTTAGTGTGTTTTATCTGGATCAGACTGATTAATCAGTAACAATGAACTTCATTCTCTATTCTACTGTTTATTGTTATTACTACTCCAAACACCTGTTTGATTTAGTTTGTTACTTCCTGTTTGTATTACACTCATTTCTTTCCTGTTTAAAGTGGCAGTAGAACACTGTTTCTTTACAACTGGAACCACTACTTTGAGCCTCTGTGTAGCTTGACAAACTTTGCTGGGGCTCACAATGGCCCAGGAGCCCTGATTAATGGCCAAATTCAAACCCATGAATTTGTGCTACAATGAAAAGACTGGTTTACCTCACCCACTTGGTCAGGATATGAATATGAAATGAGTTGCTGTTTGTTTTACCCCAATGGTTACGCATCACTTGGAGCTATAAACTCTTTCCTTTGTAGAGGATAAAGTATCGTTGGAGCAAACTGGTCCTTAATACTTTAATTGGTGCAAGACAAACTTCAGAGTTCTCTGAAAAAGACATAAGCTGTCGAAACACAAGTTCTGTTTGTTTTGCACCAATTAAAGTATTAAGGACCAGTTTACTTCAGCCATACTTTATCCTCTCCATTTGATGTCCCATGGGCTGTCGGAGCACCGGATGTCCTCTGCATGATGCTTGACGTGCTCTTCTATTACTAAACTCCTTGCTTTCTTTCTGTGTGCGTGTGTGAGGGCGTGTGTGTGTGTGCATGTGTGTGTGAGGGTGTGTGTGTGTGTGTGTGTGTGTGGGGGGGGGTGTTAGTGTCCAGCTGAGTGACCATCTTGCCTGTTGTAAAGCGGTGACGTGCGGAGGAAGTTAGTGTTAAGTCAAGCGACTGCTCTGTAGGTTGTGGTGCGATGGTTTGTTGAGGAGACTAAGTGTCCCAGTACATCCTGGAACATGAGTGCTTCAACCAGCTTCTTGCATTCCCCCCCCCCCCCCCCCCCATCAAAGACGTTAGTAGTAGCTCAGCCTAGTGTTGTTCTGCGGTTAGCATTAACGTGACCAGAGGTTGTATTGCTGACACTAAAGTGGGTTGGAATATGCAAAGCAGCAGGTGTGTATAGTTTACTTGTTACAACCAACTTTTATCAGAATCAACCGTCCCCCCTTCACCTTTTTAAGATGACTAATTTACACAGAGAGCAGGTCAAACATGACTGACTTTTTGGTATGCCACATTTGACACCCCAAGGTTCCTTTATCAACAAGGTAAATGCAGCTTTATATTCTATTACCCCTTTAAGTGTTGAGATAACAACTTAAAAATAAATAGGCTGAAAAAACACCACTTAGTGGCACAGAAGCTTTCTGACTCATCAGCCTGCTGATGATATGATGATGAGGAGGAGGTTTCTGTGTCATCTTCACACAGACAAGTGCCTAATTAATGTGTGTGCAAACACAAAAACAAACAGAAGAATGCAGAAAGTTGTTTTATATCAAAATAATCTCTCTGAACCCTTTGGGGGAATGATGAAAGGATACTGTTCCTCCAGCAGCATCCTCTCTATCACCTCTCTGTTCTCAGGGCTGATGGAGCTGTCCAGTTCCCAGGGCTGTTCAAACAGCACACAGAATCAGGACCAGGACCAACACACACACACACACACACACACACACACACACGATCTGCCTGAACAGCTGTGTGAGAATTCATACCAGGATCCAGGAGCTGCTTTTGCCCACAGACTGGACGAACTGATCCTGGATTACACCTCCTTCGTCTATCTCACTGAAACAGCATGAAAACAAGCAGCTATTAATTCCAGATGTGAAATAAACAAAGAAACGCACACACACACGCGCGCGCACTAACTCTCTCTCTCTCTACTCCATGCCATACAGACAGCTAGCTAGCTTCGAAGTGGTAAGTCTTTTTTTAAAGTTGTAGCACCTTTGAAGATACAAAACCAAAGGTGCTTTAAACAAACTAGCAGAAAAATCAAATGATAAAACAACAAAAATAATCAGTAAGATAAGAAGCAGGTCTACAACAGATAGCAAAGCTAAGGCTAATAGTCAAAGAGCCTCTCCCAGCTAATTGAACGGTAACACATGGCTCCTGTGGTTCGCAGACACACTGTTTACCCAGAGTTAGTCAGCATTCTTACCGGACATTACAATCAAAATCGTCTCCCTCGATGTCAACATCCACGTCGTCCTCCATGTTGTCGGACAGACGTAAACATAACATTAGTCTGCGCCGCTTTGGTGAGAAACACATACCACGTTGAGCCACAGCGCCACCATGTGGCTCGGATGAACGACTGTTCGGTTAACATTGATGTCAACGGTCTGTCTCTGGATTAGCCTGTTTACATTTAAGCCTGTTTATCTTACACACACACACACACACACACACACACACACACACACACACACACACACACACACACACACATATATATATATATATATGTTATGGCATGGCGTTCAGGAAATCATTATATATTTATACCAGAATACTTCTGAATATATGGACCAAAGTGTGAATATTTGGACCGAAGTATGAATATATGGACTGAAAGTGTGAATATATGGACTGAAAGTGTGAATATATGGACTGAAAGTGTGAATATATGGACTGAAAGTGTGAATATATGGACCGAAGTTTGAATATTTGGACTGAAAGTGTGAATATATAGACCGAAGTATGAATATATGGACTGAAATTCTGAATATATGGACTGAAAGTCTGAATATATGGACCGAAGTCTGAGTATTTGGACTGAAAAATGTGCTTCAAGTGGGTTCGGTTTGCAGCAACGTGCATCGCCACTTCAAACTCTGACCTCTCGGCATACCTTTTTTTTAATACTTTTTTCTTGGCGGTGAGCACTGGTAGTTTTTCGGGTCATTTATTAGTCGAAATCTCCGAGTTCTAAAAAAATATCTTTCCCTCCAACATCAGCCGTCCACAGTCCGTGCCCAGCGCAGCCACTCCCGATAGGACACGCTCTCCACGAAGGTCCGCATTTTGCGCCAAAGGTGCATCACTGCCGTGAGACGCACAGTGCAGTCAGCAATAGGATGCTTATTGTAATGTAAAATTAATTAAAATCAAGCTTAAATAGATCTAGAAATCTTACTTTTACTGTCATTCTGTTGTGGAAAATATTCAATGAAAAGTCTCTATTGTACACCTGTCTATATTTATAGAATCTGCTGATGGTTTAAAGTAATTTTAATTAAAGTTATTCAGAGCCGCTGTAGAAGTCCAAAGAGCCCGAGTTAAGCTGTGGTAACTGTAGAGGAACCGTGAAACAGTCCGAAAGCTTTTCTGTTAGCCTGTTCAAGTTGAATTCAAATAAAATTTATAGAACATTAAACATATAATGATGATGATAGTAATAATTGTATGTATATTTAACAGTGACTTCATAGCTAAAAGGCAGAATAGATTTTCTGTTTGGCCTCTCATTTTTGCAGATGATGTGGTCCTGTTGGCTTCATCAGGGGGCTCGGAGTAAATCCACTGCTCCTTCACATCGAGAGGAGCCAGTTGGGGTGACTTGGGCATCTGAGTAGGATGCCTCCTGGGAGTCTCCTTGGTGAGTTTTTCTGGGCACGTTCAACTGGGAGGAGAACCCAGTGAAGACCCAGGACACGCTTGAACAAGTATGTTCCATGGCCAGGGAACGCCTTGACATATATACATACACACACATATATATATAATTTTATTTGTATTTATATATATATATAAACTAGAGGTGGGAAAAATGATCGATTCTAAGATGCATCGCGATTCAGCCGTGCATGATTCCGCATCGATGCAGCAATGCGACATAATGAGATTTTCTCCCTATGTCTATGCAGGACAATAAAGTTTTGAGGTTTTATAATTACTTCAGGGGGCAAAGTTGCAATGACATGCGCACTGCGTTGCCCTAGCGCCATTTAAACCAGAAAAGGCGGACAGGGATACGGGGCCAACATTACCAGTAATCAAAGATGTACCCGTTACATTTAAATCGGATGTCTGGGCTAATTTCGGTTTTGGGATCCTGGATGTGAAAGAATCACTTAACACAGTATTTGTTTACTATTTTTAAGTTCAGTTGTATTCCATCTTAAAGCTGCTCTACAGAAAACATTTCTTATATTATTTAAGTAATTATAGGCAGCACACTTTAAAAATTGTTGCTCACTATAGTGAATAGATGTACTGTATGTTCTGTTTTTCAGGGATGTCGAAATAAAAAGAAATTGAAAACTATTTTACTGCTTTTATTAAGTCATGAAAAATGGGTGAAGAATTTTGATGCATTTCAGACTCAAATCGAATCTTTAGGCATAATCGGAATCGGATCGAATCGTGGGGCAAGTAGAGATGCACACCACTAATATAAATACAAATAAAATTGCTTTTCTCAAAAAATAATTAAAATTAATTAATTAAAAAATAAAGTCCCAGGTTAGATTTGTTTTTTTGTTTTTAGCTGAAAGTTTCTTAGAACACAACAGACTTGTCTTCTTTAATTTTCACACCACACTTTTCCCTGGAAAAGCCTCACATAAATCATTATTATTAGTATACAGAAAATTTACTGGAGGCCAGGCAATAATATTCAGACACAAAGTGAAAGACAACAAAAAAAAGGTTTTATTTAGAAAGAATTCACAGTTTCTAATGGCACTACAGTTTTTGTAGTAACTCACTCCTGGTCAAAAATACTGTGCAGCTCTTCAGACTCAGAAAGGAGGAAGAGAAAAGAACCGATCACACTTCACATAGAAAAAAGGCACGAGGAGTCACACAAAGTGCAGAATGAGTGTGTACAAATATCTGCAAGTGCTTCCTCCCCGTGTTATGGGTTTAATAAAAAGGTTCCAAGTAGTTTTTCTCCTTACACAAACACACACGACACATATGAAATAATCTCCTAATCGACACACACACACACACACACACACACACACACACACACACACACACACACACACACACACACACACACACACACACACACACACACACACACACACACACACACACACACACACACACACACACACACACACACACACACCAATAGAGTAGGAGAAATAAAGAAAAACAGGTTTGCTCTGCTTGTGGAATAAACGTGATCACATTAATGGTGTTGCAAATCTGATTCGTCATTCCCGTTTTCCCTTTAACCAATAATAATTCATCTCCTCTGCACCCCCCCCCCCCCCGTGTCATTCAAAGTGGGTTGAACACATGGAATTAAACAGCAACAGCGAGTGACATGTGGAGTGTAATGTGAGAGTGAGGACATACAAAGATGAGTAGAGTTAAAAAAGAAAGCATTTCATGCTCCTACTTAAACATGGAGTGGTTAATGCAAGCAGACATATTCAAAGGTTTCTTCACAGTCACAGAGCAACGAGGGCCGGGGGTGGAGGGGAGCACAGAAGAGCTGTAGGATCAAACAGTAACAAAAGGAGAAACATTGTCCAAGTTCTGTCTCTGTCAGTGTTCACAACTGCAGCCACACTCAGCCTGTCAGAAACCACATGTAGAAACAAATCGTTTACTTTTCATTTTGTAAAAACAAAACACGAACACCCCACTGAGTTTGGAATCACCATTTTGAACGGGGCGACTTACAACAAGTCATCCACAGAAGACGAGCAAACAAGCAAAGACGAGACAGAAAAACTCCATCCAACTACGCCGACGGCTCCAGACACAGCAGCACTCTGCTCCCAATAAACCCAAGGCTTCTAAAATCAATACTCAATTATTTCTGCTGGATATCAAACGTCATGGCTGGAGCTTCAGGCCGAGGCATAAAGACAAAACGAGGAGAAAAAGTGTGTTGTTGAGCGATTGTACGCGTCAGATCTATTGACGTAAACAATCTCCTGTCACCGTGTTGAACTGGGAGACCAGCAAACCAGTACCATCATCAGAAAAAGGCTAGATTTAAATAAATAAATAGATAAATATAACTGGTCTGTCAGAATCATCTGCAGGTGAAAGTATTGTAAACATTCTACTCTGGAACCACACACACACACACACACACACACACACCCCCGGACCCATGTGTCCCCACTTTAGCAACTCTCTTTAACAAACAACAAACCAGCAACATCTTAAAAATAAAGAGTCCTGGCTCAGTTCTCAGCCACAGGAATAAAAACAGAATCTGGTTCGCCTCTGGCCTGTTGATAGTCATCACAGATGTTGAATCCAATAAGAACAAGTGTGCATGAAGGTTTTGGGCCCGGCCCAAATAACAGAGTAAGGAGAATGATACACCGAGTTTACAAGACCTGCAGACTGCTGCACCTGTGAGGTTAAACTAGATTCTAAACTAAAAGAGTAAACTCGTCGATGCCATCACCCAGTTAGTTTCTTCATTCAGCTCCTGCCACTGGTTTGGAATTAACTGACAGAGACAGAAACCATCACAATGAAAACCATCAGTCTGGTCCCCAACAAACCTGCAGCCAAACCGGACAGATGAGACAGAAGAAAACAGAAGACAGAAGAGACTTGTCGTGCTCTGCGGTTCTCCTACAATGACACTTTTCATCCAAAACAGCAGCTAATACTTAAAGGAACGTCAGCAAGTCTTCTCACTGTGCTGTGTGGGAGGAACATGTTCACTGATGCTCTGCTGTCTAGGAACAATGTGCTTATTCAGGAAAAAAACAATACAAAAAAAAACTTTCAGATAAAGGTGACGTGTCGTTCCCCATCATAGTATTTATATGTGAAGGTTTGAGTGTCTAGAACAGAAATAAAGGCACATAACTGTAAACAGTTCTCTTACAGGAGTGGACAGGGGCGGGATGGTGTTGAACTAAACCCACTGAGGTTCTACGGTACCTTCAGGGGGCTCATGGGAAATGTAGTTCTTTGGAAATTGCTTGAAGTTCTTCTCCAAATAAGTCTGCTACCTTCCAGAGAACCAAAGGTCGTGTGAAGGTGAAGTGAGAGGTTTCAGGCGTGTCCGGGGACAGCGGTCACCCCGATGGTCCTGACGTTCAGCTCCTTGTTTCCCTTCATCAGTTCCTGCAGACTGGGCAGAGAGCCAACGCCACCCCCAGGCTCATGAGGGAACTGCAGCTCGGTCTGTCGAGACTTCCGTCGCTTCGTCCAACGTTTCTCCTGGCGGGATTTGGCGAGGGGAAAGGAGAGGCCGTGGCCATTGCACATGTCAGCGGAGGGGTAGATGGGGGAGGGCGGAGGGAGGCGGCTTGTGTACGATTCCTCAGAATGGGTGGAGGAGCTGCAGCTACTGGTTTCTGAGGGAACCTCTTTAGAAGAACAAGAGGGCAAAGACGACACCTGATCCACTGATGGAAGTGGTGGCGGTGGGGGAGGAGGGGGAGGCAGTAAAGGAGGTGGGGGTGGGAGCGCCGGGAGGCTGGGGTGGAAGCCATTACACTTCAGGTCCTCATTTGTGAAAAGCACAGACGGATCGAATGGTTTAAGGGTCTCAACTTTGTCCAGGGACTTTGTCTTGCCACGTTTTTTCTACAGATAAAACACAACAGAGACGAAGGATTTATTTACAAACACCACAGCAGACGGGACGAATGATGCAGGGACATAAAGACCAGTTCAAAAAACTCATGGCACACACACTCATCTCAGCCAAATGGAACGTTAGAGTTTGGAAAAGCTATGTTTCCTGCAGGAAGCTAGAACTGACTGCATTTACTCATAAAACATGTTGACTGATGTCTAAAACATTGGAGTGGTATTTAAACTGGTTGCTCGTGAGCACAGGAAGTGACTCCCTGCACCAACTGACTGACACCAAAGAAAAGAGCAGTGAAGAAGGCAGCCGTCACGGCCGACACACACTGTACCTTTTTCTCTGGAGAAAACCTTAGAGGCTCTACAATGTACAAGTCATCTGGACCTACTGGGGAGGGGAGAGAGGGGCCAGGTTAATGACGGAATGATGGCAAACAGGAATACATACATGTAACCAGCATGAGGTGACTTTGCAAGTAGTTGTAATTATTTCTTCTGACTGTATTAAGGACAGCAGCAAGCAGGAATGATTGCATATTTCCAACATTAGAATGAAATCCTGAATAAAGCAGGAGTTAGTTCCGTACGGATCACTACTTGCAAATGTTTAACATGAGCAGACGAAGCATTGGGATCCATTATTACACCTCCGAAGCTCAAATGTGGACACAAGCTTGCAATGACAGCCGCTCAGCCTCAAGGGCAAAAGCCTTCTCACACACGCACACAGCTGAGGGATCATGGGCAGCAGGGAGAGTTTTAGGTTTCCATAGTCTCCACTCTTCCGTTGACCACACCAGCCACCCGCTGTGACCGTGTGTGGCTTTAGGCTGGGGCTTTTATGGAGCTAAAGGTTTACAGTGCGAGAGCTGCAGCGCTTTAAAGAGATGACAGCTCTTCTCTGTGTGATGACCAGGATGTCAGAGAGATCATAGATGGAAGTAAACAGGAAGGTTAATCTGGAGGAGGATAGCGTGTGTGTGTGTGTGTGTGAGAATGAGGATCTCTTACGTTCTGGAGAGGAGAGCTGAAATGACTTGGAGCGGACGAGTGGGCAGGTCACCCTGCGCTTTAGGCTCATGTCATCATAGGAGGAGAAGCATCTGATGAGAACAAAACACGAGTGACAGGCTGTTCTTCTCACCATGCCCTCAGTGGCAAGCAAAGAAAGCATGGATGGATTCTAGAACTTTCCAAGAAGTGCATAAAAATGTGCATATTTGAAAATGAGAACAGCTGACCTAGACTCAAACATTACGCCCACACACACACAAAACACCCCATTCTGTGTGTGTGTGTGTGTTAAAGAGGGAGTGGCTAACCTCTTGGGGCTGGGGTAGTGGTTGCTCTTGGGGAGGGCAACAGTGCCAGTGCTGGGGCCGGGCGGCGAGCCGCGGCAGCACTGCAGACACAGCAGGAGGCCCAGAAACAGACACAGAACCAGAGCGACCAGCAGGTGGCTCTGACGGTCGGTGACCTGCAAAGGAAAACTCTGGTGAGACATCTGGCCACGACTGTTCTACATCATCTTACATTCTTATGCTATTATCATGAAAAGTAACACAAAGGCTGTGTGCCAACAGCCTGGACATTGAACAAATGTTCGTGGTGAGGACAGAACCCACGTCTCTCTTAGTTAAAGTCACATTGATGCATTTTGGGGGATGGTGCCGAATTTTAATAGAAATTCCTTTCTGGGAAACTGCAGCTTTCATTCCACGTGCAGTCGTCATTCATAAACATCTCAAAGTGGCTCGAGTAAAGTTCGACCAAACACAAACAGACAAATAACATTTAGTTTTAAGGATATCTGGGTTTGGCCTTTAATGTGACCAAAGCCAGCAGCCGATAGTTTAGAAACAACTCCGAGCCAAGTGTTTACCTCAAGATAATAAACTGTTTATTTTCACTTGAACCCAACAGGAAGAAGAATTTATCCACGTCCTGAAAGTTACTGAAACATCTTTAAGTATTTCTCATCTGCTCAGGCCACAAATACAGAAGATTTCTAACCCCTGATACAACAGCTGGGTTTGTTCATCATTGGGAACCAGTTTGAGCCAGAATCGAGGAGCGCTTATTAGAAAGATGGTTCGTTTACACAGAGCACACTTTTACTGTAAAGTTCTGATTATTGACCTTTGTTTTTGTCAGGAAAATGAATTCAGACTAAACAAAAGGTTCATCTTGTTCCAGTGTTTCCCTCTTTGTTGGAATCCCTGCAACACCTGTAATTGTGTGGTGTGTGTGTTGAGTAATAGATTAAATCTTTATCTGTACATCTTTCCAGAATACTCCAGCAAAACATTCCATAGCAGCTCATGACCCCTCCATCTACATGGACTCAGGTGTGGTAAAGACGTTGCTGGTGATGGACAGGAGAAAAACACACGACTGTGTTTGCTACAGCCAAGCATCACATTGGTTCTGGGCAGATTTCTCTGACACAGGCTGAGCTTTAAGGAGGGCAAACTGTGACTAGGACAGACATGCAAGAGTCTAAAAACTTGATTTATTTATGGGTAAAGTCAGTAAAATGATCTGAAGCATGTTTAAATGTTTAACCAAACAGACACACACCTATTCTGATTTTCTTTCCGATTCATCTACAGCACTGACCTGTTTAAAAATAGCAAATCGCCCCCAAATAAACTTTTCTTTGCTGATAAACTATGCGTGTCTAATTGTACTGTAGGAATGTGTAGTAAATAATTTAGCACTTTAGTGCATCTTAGTTCAAATTTGAAATATTCTGTCTCAAACTGTTTGTTAGCTGGTACATTATGATGTCACAATGTCGTTGTGAGCCTGTTTGTTTGTGAATTTGTTAGTGGCTCCTCCTTCTCGGTCTGCCAGGCATTTGTAGCATTTTTAAAACAGGAAGTGGGATTGGAGTTGGACTCTGGAATGGGGTGACTTGCTCTTTAACGATTTCAGACAATTTCACTTATCACAACGTGACAATAACTAACACTTAAGTTGAAAACATTGATTCTGGACATAAGCACAGCACTGGTTTATTATTTCTGGTGTGACTTAGTGCTTTTATAATTTACAGACCAGGAAAATGATTTTTTTGTCTCCATTTCTAAATACTGCTGCATAAAGACGCATGCATAAGTTGCATCAGCAGTGAAAGTTGTTCTAACGTCTTATCTGTGCATCAGTTTGTGCATCGAACACATTTGACTGTTTGTCTATCATTTATAGGATTTTAAATATGCATTAATTTGCTGGTTGCAGACTTTTACCAATACGTCTTCCTTCTGCTGCTTCGTGAAAAAATATACATCTGTTCTCTGTTTTGCCTCTGCACAATATAAATGTGTGTTTGCAGCCTACAGGTGAGCCTTAAAGATAGAATTAGCAGAGATCAGTTCAAACACCTTTAACTTAACTGAAACTATTTTACATGCCCAAAGAGGCTTTAGAATCTCACTAAAGGAAAAGTATAGTTCACCCCAAACATGATGATTAGTGCTGGCTCCTGAAGCAATGAGGCAGAATTAAAATGTAAAAATGACAGGTGTGTTACCTCTCGCTGCAGCTGGCTCACGGTAGCTGTGAGATTGAGCATCAGTGTAGTGACATTCTCCAGCTGGCTCTGGAGGACCTGGATGGACTCGGTCTGCTTCTGGTCCTGTTCACATAAACACACCAAACCCACCTCAGTTATTCCCATAAATCTGATCATTATCCCATCATGAGTTGTCATCTTTTCTGTCTGCGTTAAAGCAGAGTCACCTGCTCCTCGGCGATGCGGGAGGTGTTCTGCAGTTTAATGATGGTCTTATTGAAAGCTTTCTGCATCTCTTCCATCTGTTTACGATACCTGGAGAAAACAAAAGCACGACTTGTGAGAACCTCCTGCATTCATAAAAAGGTTTTAAACCATTCAGTAGTGCTGCACCTCTGGCTCAGCTCCTCCAGGTATCTGCTGGACAGACTCATGTTCATCTCCAGAGCTTTGATCCTGTTGTTGAGCCTCATGAACACGCTCTCCTTCTGGCTGGACCCGTGAACGGCTCCTCCGTTCAGCAATACTCCATTGCCATTTATTGCTACTCCATTATAATCTCCTGCACTCTGCAGCTCTGCATAAAAGTCTGTAGCAGTCCTCTGGACGTTCCCGTTAGTGTGGACCACGTCTCCCTCTACAGAGTCCTCCCCTGTCTGAGAGAGCGGGTCCACCTGCTCCCCCTGGAGCTCAGACAGCTGAAGATTTTGTCTCTGTGTGTCCCCACCGGTGTCCATGCCTAACTTAACTGTGTCTGTGGGGGGGTCAGGCTGTGAAACAGCTGCTGGCAGCTCAGTGGGAGGGGGGCTGAGGTCCTCGGGTCTGGACGCAGTGGGGAGAGACACAGCAGGCTGATCTTTGACTGAGGAAGCCACAGCACTAGAAGAGTCTTTTTCAGAGGACAGAGGCTGTGAAGGAGAGCTGACAGAAGGAGTGAGGATGGCACTGCTGGCCTGCTGTGTCTCTGGAATGGAGAGAGTTTGGAGGGGTGGTGTGGGGACAGGATCTAGAGCTGCGTCTTTACCAGGAGGTAACAGCTTCTCCTCATGTGTGGGAGTGGGTTGAGTCAGGGAGCTCTCAACCGGTGAAAAGCTATGAGAGGGGATTGTGGAGGTTCTGCTGGGTTCAAGGAGGAGGGTGACGTCTGGAGTGTGTGGATTTGGTGACTGAGTGTTGGTTTGCATTTCAGTGGTGTGTATCTCACCCATAAGCGTCCCCTCATTAGCAAGAACCTCAGATTCTGGAGCGTCGAGTGTGAGAGGAGGGGTCTCCTGTGTAGGTGGGGCAGCAGGGATTGGTGCAGGTGTGTGTGTGGGGATGGGGGTGTGCACAGTGGAGTGAGTGAGTGTTTCAGAGCTGAGCTGTCTCCTCCTGAGGCTGCGGAGTCTCTCTTTAGCCAGCCTAGAGGAGCACCAGCGATGAAGCAGCTCAGGCAGCGTGGCCACGCAGGACAGGGACAGTGAGGAGAAGCAGGAGAACGGACAGTACGCCTGGCTCTCCCACTGGTTTCTGTCAGCCTCCCTTCTTGTTTTCTCTTCACTTTTCTCCTCCTCCTCCTCCTCCTCTCCCTCCTCCAACAGAATGACAGTCTGCCTGAGATCCTCATCCTCTTCGTCTTCTACGAGCGTGACAATCTGTCTCCTCTCACGGGAATCGGATAATGAGGAGTCGCTGGAGACATTCAAGTCCTGCTCCTCCTCCACAGCAGGCTGCTCTGGCTCTAAAGGATCCAGTCTGAGGAAAACACAACACAACTTTTACATTTGGTGAATCACACCTACCGTTCTACATCCTTCCAGCACTAATGTGGTACACAGACAGTGTGACTGGCTTGTTCTTACTCTGCAGCGTTATCAGGAGCTTCAGGCTTAGTGTCTGCACTCTGCCTTTCATCCCCCTCTTCGGTTGTGTTCCCTGGAATTCAGACAATATCACAATGAAACAGCTGGCATCAGAACACACATCTGAACACTGAGTGAGACTAAAGCCGGGCGTACACTGTGCGACTTTTTCACTTTTTTGAGCCGATTTTCCACTCGTGCGAGAATCCACGACACCGGGGCGAGTTTAGCGCCGAGCGGTCGTGTAGTGTACAGGGGGTTACGAGAGGCGATTAACACCACGTGACCAGCCGCCGATCAGCAGTCGTGAGGTCGCACGGACTTCTGGCGTGTTTAATATTTCGCTCGTCCCTCGTGAGGGTATCGCGCTGTTGAAGCGGCGCTGCGAGCAGCTGCGACCCAAAAAGTATCAGAACCGCTCACGGCGCATGCGTAATCCTGCATCAACTCCGCTCCCCCGCTATTTCCCTAATAACACACGCTGTTCGTTTTTGTTTCTACACGTTTTTTACTCACAAAGATTGTCAAGAAGGCGTGTTTGTCGTGTTCATGTCAAATTAAACTGATCATAAAACACAGATTTACTTCCTTTATTTCGTTTTCCTCATCCAACCCCCATAAATCCCTGTGTGTCCTCCTGCAGCACTCCCGAAGGACAACAGGCAAGACAAGACAAAAAAGTCTGACGTGTTCAGTAAAAACTGCTATTTTTAGCATATTTTGGGGCCGACGTGTTGCTACCAGACGGACAGTGTGAGCAGTCAGGTCGCATCCAAGAACTGGGTCGTGCAGTGTGAGCGCATGGCTCGTGAGATCTGCCCTGCGAGGAAGTCGTACAGTTTGAGCTGAAGCTGAACGCTGCGAGTGAAAAAGTCGCACAGTGTCCGCCCGGCTTAAACAAAATAAGTAAGCAGTATTTCCTCTCCTTTGTTGGTTAAGGATGAGGATGAATTAGAGAACGTGTGGCAGGAATGCCCAGTGTTTGGAAAAAGGGGGAAAACGCCACTGAACCAGTCTGAACCAGTCTGAACCAGTCTGAGCGGCTCTCGTGTGCAGCCTGTCTCTGGTTTTGTGGCTGTAAATTGGAATCGGCACTGAAACTGTGGCAGAAACAAAGTACTGTTGCTTGTTTTGGATTGAGAAATTGAATTTTTCTTTGACAAAGCTTACACTTCAAATTTTACTTTGTAATTTGACCCCTAAAAATTATTTTCTAGAAAAGGATAAAGAAATAAAAGGTGCCTCATCATTTACACTAGTCCAAACCCAATCCAAGACTAGAGAAGCTGAGTAAGGGAGTCGTTTTCATACCAGCGTCTGTGTGGTAAACTCAGAGCAGAGAACTCAGCTAATCTGTCTGCCAGGAAGTAACTACAACACACTGACCTCCTCTCAGCAGCAGAACAAACATCTGTGCTACTTATGAATGCTCAGCTTGTGCAACGTCACGCTGAGGGAAAGAACGCGGCCCCGTTTGGAAACGTTAATCTAAACAATAAGTTGAACGACAAACCGATTTGTGGTTAGAGGAAGGGAGAAGTAAGAAAAAGCCTGAGCAGAGAGCTGGAATAGAAGAAAACTGTATAATTATATTTCCTGTGCTGCTTGAAAGCAAGAGTTCAGAAAACTTTCCAACACAATTCTTATGTAAGATGAAGTAACAGCCCCATTAAAGATAAATGCTGGTCCCGGTCGTCTCTTTTACGTTCTTCTGCTTTTCTTTTCTTTCCTTCTGATAAATGTCAGTCTGATGAAACCAGGGACTTCTCCACCTGAGGAAGGTGTTTGAACTGTGATGACATCTCTACATAGTTGTTACTGACATGAACATTCAGCTTTTAATGCACACAAAAACGATGAATGGAAAAATAGTTAAAGCCAGCTATTATTAGGAGCGGCTTAACCAAAGGGCATTTTATGGTTGAACACATTATGATGTAAACCTTTAAGGGTGAGTCATGCTGGCTGACAGATGCTTTAATGACACGGATCTGGAACTCACTGATCATTTAACACACATGAACCGGTTTAACTCCATTCTGACAATAATGAGGTGCAGCTGCTGAAAGACGGTTTTCATTATTTAAACTAAAATGATCAACAGATCCAGTAAAATTCATGTCAGACTGAAACTTGGACAAAATCTGTGATGAGGCTGAGTTATCAAAATGATTCCATTTATAAATGAATGTTTCTGAAAAACTAATGGTATGCAAGACCCTGCATAGACTAGCATCTGAGTATATTACAGAGAGTTTCATTTCTTATAAACCCTCTCATCCTCTTAGATCTGTGGGCCGTCACCTTCTGGTTATTCCTTGTACTAACCCTAATACTAGTAGAGGAGACTTCGCATTGCAGACGCCAGGATTTGGAGTCTTATTTCCTAATATTTGGACATCTCGCCTTTGATTGGATAACAGCAACACAGCTCTACCACAGACTTGCAACTTTGATGTTTTATCTCCACAAATAGCACAAGCCTGGAGGAGTTCTGCCGTGTGGTGGAGCTGCTAATGCTAACGGTTAGCTTTTACTAGCCGAGACGTTCTCTGCTGGACCTAAATCCAACAACAGCCTTCCCCATTGTGAGTCAAGATGGGTGAGTCCATGAATGTTAAGTGAAATCTTAAGAGTTTCACCGTCTATTTTCTATCAGAAGCTAATGCAGGAGATAGGTGTAGGAGACTATTTTCATGTTCAGCCTGCATGAAAAACTCAGAGTGACCGATTATAATCAGGAATAATCATTAAAATATGGTTTTTCAGTGTTCCACACTTTTGACATTATTTTATCCTCAATGATTTATTGTCTTGTTATTGATCGTTGTTAGCTTTTCGTCATTTTACCTCTCGTCTTGTATTGCTGTTCTTATCCTTCTGTGAAGTGCTCTGAATTTAATTTCTGCGAAGGGCGGTTTATAAATAAAGTTCGAGTTGAGAGAAATATGCAGCATGAGGAAATCATTTCTATTAAATACATCTGTGTGTATGAAGAAAATGTACGAGTCTCAGGGTGTGTTGCCACAGCTGGTATCTCAATTCAAACTGTAAACTTCAGAGTTTCTGAAACGTCTGCGTGGGTTCTGAATGTCCTCATGAGAGCCACAGGGCCTCCATCTCATGTCTATAGAATTTAATAGTGTTCAAAAACAGTTTTTATATGTGTTAAAACATTTAAAGGTTTGGTGATTTAAATATAATCTGGAGACCAGATTAGGATGTAAGACGAAACATAAAAAAGTACCTCTGGCTTCTGCTCCACCTTCTAGCTCTGGCTTGCCACCGAGCACATTAGCAGCAATGTTGTTAACCATGTTAAGAATCGCATCTAAAAGAAGGACAGAAAGAAACACACCCTCACAATTCATTTACTTTTCAGAGATGTGGATCCTGACAGGCAGCAGCCTGAGGCCACACGCACATAAAAACCCCACCAGGCTTCACCAACCGTCTTTACTGTCCCACTCTCTTTCTGCTTCAAGGCAAATTTTCATTTTCACTTGTGTGCCATGCTTTCCCTTTGACAGCTTTTATTCCAGTTTTTGATTATTTAGTTGGGTGTAGTTGAAGAGAAAGAAACAGATTCTTCCTTCACAGGTAAAACAAAACCTTTCTGCTTTTCCCGATGAGCCGGCTGTGGTGAACTAGACCAAATTCTTGCTTTGCAATAAATAAATAATATATTTATTTATTCTGGCTTGCCAGGCTACATCATATTTGAATGTTAAGTCCAGATGTTTAAACTGCATCTGCACAAACCCGCCTGCAAGTCAGTCATATCAGATATAAATACTGTGTGTCCGTGTTTACATACTGGTGGCTGAACCCAGCAGGTTTTTAGAGGCCTTCTCCTCCGAGGGTTGGTAGCCAAGAGGATAGTCTGAAATGAAACAAACTGCACATTCAAATACATCCCTGTAGAAGTAGAGCAGGAACAGAACTGTAAGGGCGTGTTGAAGCCTTCTAATGAGGAAATACACACATTTATTAGAACGTTTTGCTATTTTCTATTTGTTCTACATATACCGTATTTTCCGGACTATAAGCCGCTACTTTTTTCCCACGCTTTGAACCGTGCGGCTTATAATGAGGTGCAGCTTAAGATTTTCCTTCACCTGCCACTAGGGGGCGCTTTAGCAGAAAGTGAAACAGGTGGAAGTCAAAAGTGGAAACTGAAGAAAGTGCTCATTTTAATTTAGCACATGCAAGCAGCCGGCACGACAAAGAATTTGTTTCAAACCCACACCCCCTCATCATGGTAACTACACGTATGAGTTCATATGATGCTGCATTTAAGTTGAAGGCATCGATCTGGCAGTGAAGGAGGGAAACAGCGCTGCCGCACGTAAGCTTGGCATGAATGAATCCATGGTTCGGCGCTGGAGACGGCAGCGGGAAGAACTCATTCAAGCCAGCTTCACCCGGGGATGATGACAGCAACACAGAAAAGGTATGTGACGAAGCTCTTCTGAGGCTGATCAACTCCGACACTGAAGAAGAGGACTTTAATGGCTTTAGTGTGCAGGAGGAAGATGAGAGCGAATGACTTCTTCTGGTAGGCAGGTGTGTTTTATTTACTAACCAGGCATGTTTTGTGTGCAGGTTTTATTTTCTAACAATCCAGGGCTTATTAATGCTGTGTCAGCGCTGTTCTTTTCTTCTAAACATGCAAATGACCGGTAATAAAGTGTCAGTGCTGTTTTTATTTTATAACATCCAGAAATATGAATGCTATCAGTGCTGTGTTCTTTTCTAAACTTGCAGGCACCTTCAACCGTTTTTAAAATTCGTTTTGTTGAATTAAAACAACAAGGAAAAACCTCCGTGTAGCGTCTTTCTGTCTAATTATCTTATCTTATGGCCGTACATGCGCTGTGCGCCGGAGACCTGCATGTGGCTGCTGCGCCGCGGCTTCTATTTGAGTGCGTGTGTGTGTGTGTGTGTGTAGAAAACCTTTTTTTTTTGTTGATGCGGCTTATATTGAGGTGTGCTCTATAGTCCTGAAATTACGGTAATCATACTCTTGTGTTTATTGAGAAACTGTACATTTGATACTTTGACAGTGTCAACATCTCACCATAGTCTTCCTCCAGGTACTCCAGTCTCTCCGAGGGATACTGGGAATCTGCTATCTCCTCATACTCCTCCACCATGCTGGTTCCAAACACCCTAAACATCACACACACACACACACACACACACACACACACACACACACACACACACCCACACCCACACCCACACACCCACACAGAGTTATAGAAGCAGCACACCTACAGAACAAGTTAATGGTTGATATTAATAAAAACCAGGGTCTTTTGAATGATCCAGAGGAAGCGGCGTAAACATGCCAACAGCAGGAACATTCTTCACCTGGGTCAGTTATGTAGCCTGTCAGTCAGAAATCTTTAGACACTCTGGTAAAACCACACCTCAGGCTTTAAAGCCCTTTAAGCCTTCAACAGTAGAAAATACTCCTGATGACCCAGTTTACTATGTTTTACAGGGACAAATGCAGCTAACTGGGTGTCTGGGTGAACATACAGAAGCCATCTGTGGCAGAAAAGAAGGATTAAAAGTGGCACATAGCAAACACCAATAGGAAGTTTTAGTGCAGACTGTTCCAAGTGAATAGATGCAGAAGTAAGCAGTGAAGCTAGCCAACTAGCACTTATGTCTCTGTGTGCAGCACAAGTTTCATTTTCCTGAAAGAATGATTAAATAATGCAAACTTAATAGCAGTGTAAAGGTTTATAGAATAGCTTTAACATAACATTATTTTTGTGTGTTTATTTTTTATTAACTCATTCACTGCCAATGATGACTTAAGTCGTCATTTGCATTTTTTTGCTGTTTGGGCATCGGAACGAGCCCTAAGCTCTGAAGCCAATCTTCATCCGCATACGTCACGTGATCAGGAAGCAGAAAATCCATGTGTTAGGAGATCGTTTTGGGCCGTTCCTGTAAAAAAAAAGTGGGGCGCAAACCGGAAAAGCGTCTGCCGATCACAATTCGACAACGGATTATGGAAGAAAGGGTAACGCTCGAAACACGCAGATTCTTCCTGATGTTAGAGGTGAGTCTCCACTTTGTTTTGGTTGTTTTGGCGTGGACATCATCCTAGCGCGCACCGTTCTATGACTCTTAACCCTCCCACTGTCCTAATGGGTGTGACCCTGAGAGGAAAGTTGACCATTGAGCAGGGTTGATGGTTTATCCCTTGAGGTCCATGTGGCAGGGGTGAGGATTGAGCACCACCTCACCCCTGCCACGTGGACCTCAAGGGATTGAGAATCGCCTAAAGACTAGAGGAGATGGGGCATTTTCTGTGGCCGGTCCTACACTCTGGAACAGTCTTCCTCTGCAGATCAGGACCTCACAAAGTCTGGATGTTTTTAAGTCCTTGCTTAAAACTCATTTATTCAACTTGGCTTTTATGTAGGATGATTTTATTTTTTCATCATCATTCTTTCTCATTTTTATTGATTTTATAATTGTATGATGTAATGTTTTTATCCTAACTTGCTGATTTTTATGGTTTTATGGTTTTTAGTTATACTTGTTTGCGATTTTATCTTCTGTGTTGTACAGCACTTTGGGTTGCGGAAGCAATAATAAGTGTGCTTTAGAAATAAATGTGACCTTGACAGTCAACTTTCCTCACGGGGTCACCCATAAAGACAGTGGGAGGGTTAAATAGTAAAAACAGCGAGAAACGCTGGCAGTGAAGGCCTTTAGCGATCAGGAAACGGCTGGCAGTGAATGAGTTAAGGAGAAATCCACCTTGGTAACTTGCCTAGCCATTAGCCTGTCTGTCCAATCAGAACTAATTTCTCATTCTCCTAATAAAGGTGGATCAAGGAGGCATCTATAACGAGACACTACATGTTCCTAACCTTTCTAAAGAAACCATATTTAAAGGTGTGGTTTACTCATTTATTCAATACATTTGCAGTGTTCTCTGGTGTAAATCAATGACTTATGAGTCATTAAAAAAAGAAGTTATGATGCTCCTGTTCTGAGATGCAGAAGCTTGCTGGCTCAGAGGTGGGATGACAACCGCAGAATTACTCATTATTATTAATGATATGCACACACCTCACTTCTGATTGGCTAACAGAACATGTTCAGCCATGTTGCAAAGTCACTATCACCAATACACTATCCGCTGTCTCTCACTGTTGCAAACATTTTTTTAACCCTTCCACGGTCTTATCGGGTGACCCCGCCAGGAAAGATGACATTGAGCAGGATTGATGGTTTATCCCTTGAGGTCCACATGGCAGGGGCGAGGAGTGAGCACAACCTCACCTCTGCCACGTGGACCTCAAGAGATAAACCATCAATCCTGCTCAATGGTCTTCTTTCCTGGTGGGGTCACCCGATAAGACCGTGGAAGGGTTAAAGCCTTCCTGTGGGCAGGAGCGAGCCAAGATGGGTGAGGCCATGAATGCAAATTCAGCGTGACATAGATCTGTGAGGAGTTTCAGGTTAGAGTTTCACTGCCTATTTTCTATTAGAAACTAATGCAGGAGATAGGTGTAGGAGACTTTTTTTTGTTTAGTCTGCATGAAAACCCCATAAATAATAATTAAAAAATGTTTTTTCAGTCAACCACACCTTTAACAATGACGGCCATTACCTGAAGAGACTGAGGGGACAGAAGTGTTCTGATCCAAAGTGAGAGAGGAGTTCAATCTGCAGGGAAAACAGAAACTGGTAAAATGACTCTAGTTTTAAAACCATCAGTAACAAACGCAGCCTTTATGCCCCCAGTCCAAAAACCATTATCCACCAAATGTGCCAGACGTCAACATAGATTTGTGTAAATGTTCGTTTGTCATGATTTACATGCATTTTTAAGTTAAAGATAACCAGTAATAACAGATCACCATTTATAGTCTGGTTACAATCCCTGACAGTGAGAGAAGAGTGCCAACCTTTATGTACTTGATGAACATCTGATGTGAGCAGAAGACAGGAGAGTGACAGCAAGAGAGAAAAATAAAACAAGAAATCAGTAACGGAAAAATTCAAGCTACAAGCAAATCAAGAATCTGGAAACAGTTCAGCTGTCAGGAAACCGAGCACATCGCTGATGTGTGTAGTTCACGCTCAGGTCAAACCGGACAGGTGTTTCTAACAAGCTAGAGGCGCTCAAACAAAACAAGAAATGAACACTAAAATACACAGAACAAGAGCTGATGATGGAGAAGACAGAGCAGGAATCAAAGTCAACTCAAACACTAAAAAAACAGGACGACTGCAGGCATTAACACGGTGGGTTTAACATGCAAACAAAATCTACAGTGAAGAGTGAGAGATGTAAGGGGACAGTTAAGAGAAGCATCTTCATCCTGTTTGCACACATTCAGATGAGAACAGTCCAGCTTCGTCTCACTGGAAGGATTTTAAGATCATAACATTAATGCTTAGTGTGAAAACACATTGGAGTGTGTCAAAAGTCCTCAGGCTAAATATTACAAAATTATTGTCAATAGATCATTTAGTGCACAGTTAATAAATATGGTGAACAACACAGGAACACAAAAGGTGAGCTTGTGATCAGGCAGACTCAGACTGGTGAAGATGTAGCATCCAACACTAGGTTGGTTTAAAGTAAAAACAGAAATCTGGAGGAAATCACAGAATTTTTTTTCTTGTTTTATTATATTTACAGGGAGAAACAATCTGTTATTCCTTTGATATTTCTAGTTTATCAAACAACTGAGAAAGCCTGAATGTGCTTTTATACGACAGAAGCAGAAAAAAGGAGTACCTTCACATATTTAGCATAAAGCTGTTCATCCAGAGGGAAGCTCTGGACGATCCGCTCATCACGTGCATGGAAAGTGCCCAGCTTTACCCACTTGTTGGTGGGATATCTGCCAACAAAACAAGTAAAAAAAAAACAGTAAATTATTTCTAAAAGGGTGGCTGTAAGTGATGCTTTCTCTGGAAGTCTGTTGCTGAAAGTCAGAGAAGGGAGTCATTTTTTAAATAACCTCAACTGCTGCACTGATTTTGGTGAAATTAAAGATGAAAAACTAAAGACTGAAGAGCTGAGGAACCTCAAGAATTGCCAGATAATAAGCAGCAGTAAAGTTAACATTGTGGCTTTAAAATTTGAGGTAAAATTTCAGACATTTTTGCAGTTTTAAAGGGAAACTAGACAGTTTAGGCTTGCTTTTAGCACCCCCTAGTGTCAGTTTAGTAGAACCAAAAGCAAAACTTAACTCCTGGCTGTGCATTCATCTTTTAACAGCTTAATCGAACAACTAAAAGGTCTCGCCAGCCTTCTTTAGTGTCTACAGCAGGGGTGTCAAATATGCGGCCCGCGGGCCGGAGATGGTTGTGTAAACTTTATTTTCATACTTTACAATGTAGAGTGAAAATAAACTTATCAGTGTGAGCAAGTTTTCTCTGTAATGAGTATAAATAAAACAAAGCTGCGCTCAAGGCTCGCACAAGAACTTGAATCACATCCTGAAGTTGGCCGCCACTCAGGATGTGACTTCTGATGTTGATGTGCTGGTGAAAGCTAAACGATGTAAAGTAAAATGAGTCAAATATACTTTAAGTGCTGCATGAAACTGGTCTAGCCATGTGACCTGTAAGCTCTTTGAATCACTAAGGAATTTTTATTTATTGATTGATTTTTTTATTTTTTCAAATTTTCAAGTACACTTCAGGTGTTGTACTTGTACTATTTTGGATACACTGTCCTCAGGCTCCAGCCTTGTTTTATAGTGATTGTATTAAAACAAAGAAAACAATCTGAAGTTTTTTTTTATTTACCGGTCCGGCCCACTTGGGACTAGATTTCCCTCAATGTGGCCCCTGAGCTAAAATGAGTTTGACACCCCTGGTCTACAGGAATGATTCATCATTAAATTAAACAAATCAGCTGTGTTCATGATCTAAAACATGTTGGAAGTGGAATATTTGGGCCACAGGAATATAGGGGCTGGGTGGCCTTTCAGTAACCCTGTAAAAAGGTCATTTTTGCACATAATGGCTCAGAAAAAACTTTTAAAAATAAGAAAAAGTTGCAAAGTCCTTTAATAAATACACAGAAATACAGTGCTCAGCATAAATGAGTACACCCATTTAAAAAGTATGAATTTAATCAGTAGCTCAACAAACAATTTCCAGAATTTAACAAGGCTGGGTTTTATTTAACACTCATTTAGCTCCATAAGATGAAATTTAAGTTTAATAATATAACTTGGATCACAAAATCTTCAGTTTTACTAAAATTGGTTAAAGCAAATATGAATACATCCCACAACAAAAACTACTAAATCTACTATTTTGTATGACCACCGTTATTTTCAAGGACAGCACACAGTCTTCTAGGCATGGAATGAAAAAGGTGGAGACATATTGCAACATCTGTCTTTTCCCATTCTTCAAGACTAACGTCTTTTAGAGCCTGGATGCTGGATGGAGAGTGATGCTAATCTTGCTGTTTCAGAATTCCCCACAGGTGTTTGATTGGGTTCAGATCAGGGGACGTACTTGGCCATTCAATCACCTTCACCCTGTTCTTCTTCAGAAATGGAACAGCAGCATTAGATGTGTGTTTTGGATCTTTGTCGTGTTGGAAAAGTCGACCAAGTGCACAGAGTGATGGCAGCATCTTCTCCTTCAGTATAGAGCAGTACATTGTTGAGTTCATGATGCCATCAATGAAGTGCAGCTTTCCAACACCAGCAGCACGAATGCAGCCCACATAAGGACACCGCCACCACCTTGTTTCACTGTAGGCACCGTGCATTTCTCTTTGAAATCCTCACTTTTACGACGCCATACAGTTTTGAAACCATTAGTTCCAAAAAACAGTGATCTTTGTCTCGTCACTGCAGAGTCCAGTGTCCCAGTAGTCTTCATCCCTGTCAGCATGGGCCCTAGCTAATCCTAGGCGTGCTTTTTTTGTGAATGGGCTTCAGGAGAGCCTTCCTTCGTGGACGATACCCATGCATGCCATTCCTCTGCTGTATGGTGTCTCGGGAAATGGTCCCTTCAGTTTGGCTTTCTACTGCTTTAGCTAACTGCAGTGAACTTGCATGGAGATTTTCTTCAACCCTTCTCATTGGAAGACGCTCCTGTTAAGATGTTAACTTCCGTGGACGGCCTGGACTTCTCTGTAAGATGGTTGCACTTCCATCGTTCTTAAGTTTTTTGATCACTTTTGCTACAATATTCTGACTGATATATAAAGCTTTGCTGATCTTCTTGAAGCCCTCACCTTATTTTTGTAAAGAAATGATTTCTTTTCTGAGATTTTGTCACATTTCTTTTCCATCTGGAGCCACTGCTGACAGCATGAAACGAGAAGGGATTTCTTTATTAAGTAATGCCCTTTTATAGTCACCTGTCTGCTGGACACCTTTTAAATGAACCATTAGACTCACATGTGGTTGAATGCCTGTTAATTGGAATTGTGTAGTCTTAAGTGTGGCTTTTCTCCTAAGACTATAATTGGCGTGTGCTCATTTTAGCAACATGGGCTTGAATGAATTTGTTGGGAAAATCACTTTATTGTGTGGGCAAATTAAATCTATTTATGGGAGTATTTTGTAGTTTGGTGTCTCATAGAAACTGTTGATTCTGAAAGGGATAAAAGGTTTTCTGACAAATGTAGTGGGGTGTATTCATTTTTTGCTGAGCACTGTAACTAACTTAAATATTGTTCTCTCTACCAGCAACAAGTTGCTAGTTGGTAATGTAATCTTTCCCACACCCTCAGAAATGGTTTGATGCATCAGTCCATTGTTCTACATTACTCCTACTTTATTTTACTTTTGTTTGAGGAAAGGTCAGAAACCAACCTGTCGCTGATGGAAACTAGGAAGTCTTTAGGCGTGGATGAGAATAGCTCAAAGTTGGCGATGTCCAGCTGTTTGACTTGGATGGGCTCACAGAGCTCGATCACAAACCTGACCAGAAACAAACACAAGGCTGGTTATGAAAATAAGTAAGTCATGAGAAATTAGGCTGTGCTCCTGCTGTGCACCCACCAGATTTTGTTGCTGCATGGATTTAACATATAAAGGTCCATGTTTTCCATTAGAATAGCTGAAGTACTCTAAGAACAGGAATAAAAATTATAAATAAAAGTTGACAGACATCATTATCGCCACATTTATGTCCTACATAAATACAAATGTGCTGAGCATGCTCATGTCTGATTATGTAACATGTCAGCATGACACCTGAACCTTCGTGTGTGTTAGCGAGTCTGTGTGCACGCACGCATGCATGCATGTGTTTGTGCGTGCATGCATATGTGCAAGTGTGTGTGTGCATGCATGCAAGTGTGTGTGTCTGTGACACCTTGGCCTCGTTGTTGGCAGAGAGGATCTTGGCACCACACTCCACAGAAGCGTAGTTATTCTTGAAGTTTTTCTGGACTTTCTTCACCGGATGGAGGCCGCTGCTGGTTGACGTATGGAGAGTTTGACCTGGAGAGAAAGACGTTAACATCAGAACTATTACACACTCTGGAAAAGGTTTAAAAGAGCTTCAGGGAAACACATTCTTTATTGACCACAGATAAGAGCAGAAGGAATCTGTACGGTCATGCTTGTAATATTTTCAGTTAAGATTCAAAGGCTTGTTTAAACAATAATCTATCATTTCACCCAAGGACATTTACACAGAATGTTTTTATGATGAATTTTATTCATGTTAATTTTCTACAAAAATATAAATAAAATCACTAACCAGGTCAAACCTAATAAGGCCTAATAGATAGGGCTGAATGATTTTAGGAAAAGATTGAATTGCGACTTTTTTCTTTGAAGAAATTGCAATTCAGTTAGATTAACAATTTTCTTCAAATCAGGGTTCAATACATTATTCACAATATAGTCATACAGATATCACCATAAAAACATTAAAAGCTATTAATTTTCTCCCATTGTTAACTTGTTTAATGGTTGTTTTTTTTAATGTTCTGTCAGCTGGGCTCAGCTCCAGTACCGGTATCCCCCCGTCCTCTCCCAGCGCTCTCTGCTGCCGCTGTAACACAGGAAGAAACCCCGGATGTCTAAAATCAGGGTATATACAGCAATCCTTAAGTAAAATTTACTACTTTTTAATACTTTTTTTACTACCTTCAGAATTTTTTTAAAACCATCACAACACTAAATTGCAAGTGTTAATCAGCGACCTATTTACACATATTTTAACATATTTAACATACAAAAAGAATAGACTTAGAGACTCACTGATGTTGACAACGTATTGCACATATTTATTTTACTTAGAAAATAAGCCAGGCACTTCTGTTCAGCGGTTCAGACAGTTGACCACGGGGCCTGAAATGATGCACAACGACCACTGAATATGACGTCATCATTATGTGACTGGATATGCTAAAGTAGGGCTGCTCGATTATGGCAAAAACAATAATCACGATTATTGTGACTGAAATTGAGATCTCGATTATTTAAGACGATTTTTCAATTTATGTTGATTTTTATTTTTTTATTCAGTCATAAAACTGCTCAGGGCACAATGAGGGCAAAAATAAACAAGAAACAAGATGATCACTAAAATAACTCCTGATTCCCAGTATAAAAAGACCAGTATACTTACAGCTCATAGTCTATGACCCAAGGGCTACAGACCTTGGTTTAACTCATTTAAGTCTAACCAGTACAGACCCAAATACCAATTTCTTGCAAATACTGACAACAAGAATTATACAGTGGCATTTATAACAAATAAATGCAAATAAATTGATGTTCACAAAATGTTGCATAACATTTATTGAGTCGTGTCAAGGTGCTGTAGGAGAGTGCACTAGCACCGTGTCCTCAGAGAGATTAGTTATCAGCGTGAGGAACTTATTTCTACCTTATTTATAAACTATTTACTTACAAGTCCATCAGTTAATGTAATAATTGTCCCAACCACAGCTGCACCCCCACCCCCCAACACGGTCTCAGCAATCGGGGCAAGCTGCACGTGTTTAGCGCGCCGCACGCGAACATTTACCCCCAAATTCCACTACCTCCGCTCCGCAGCGCTCCGCTCCGACACGAACGCCGGAGCAAAATCGGTCCCGTTGTAGTCAATCAGAGTAATTCCACTACTGCGGCCGTGCTCCGGCAGTGCGGCGCCGTGCGCCGCCCTCTGCTCCGGCGTCCGGCAAAAATAGAATCGATCCTATTTTCGCCGGACGCCGGAGCACCTCCGCAGTAAATGGACAGAAATCACAACGGCCCAACAGGAAAAGGAGCAAGCACAATTTCCGTATTTCACAATAAATCGATAAACAAAAGGCGTTTTTTGTTTCATACGCACAGATTTAACAACTTTTAACCACTATCAATGGCGGCTGAAGTTTAAATGCACAAAATTAAGCCATAAATACAGTTTCCACTATCAAAGTAGTCACACTTTGTTGATCCAAACACTGCTGATCTCTCAACACACATGATGGGCAGATTAAACAGTTCATGTCGATGCTTCTCCCACACAACGGGTGTTTGGATCTAACTTCCGCGTTTATTGCTCAGACTGTATCGCAAGATCTCGAAAGTCCCGCGCATGCTTGTTTGCCCACCTCAGGTCTCCGCACCGGAGCGGAGCCGTTGTAGAGCGGGTACCAGTAAAAATTGAGTTCGGAAGCGAGCGGCTGCGGAGGGCGGGGGCGGACCGGAGCGGAGCGGAGCGGAGGTAGTGGAATTTGGGGGTTAGCCGTTTTTAGCGGCTCAAGAGCACGCAGGTACGGTGTGTGTCACTCACTCTGGTTACTCCAACAGGAAGCCGGCTCTGAGAGCTGTTTCTTTAGCGACTGACACATCACTACATCATTCCCTTTCCTAATGTCCTGAAGAACGGTCCGGAGCGCAGGCGGAGTGTTTAGCTAACCTGCAGGAAATGTCGACGACAGTTATCCAGAAAGTAGCTAAGGGTTACCAGAGATGTTTCTGAGGTGTTCGCTAGGTACTTTTAAGATTTAAAAAGTCAAGAAGGGGGTCTGAAAAGCTGCTAGAAATAGCGTCAAAGTCGCTAATGGGCTCGACACACAGGAGGCGACATCGCCTCTCCTCCATTCATTTTCAATGAGACATGCGCGACAAAGCGATAATCGCGGGTCACTCTCCTACCAAGCGAAACGCGAAAAACGTGCGTGTGAAAGTTTGCACTCGTGCACGTGTCGTGCACGGACGACCCAGCGACGCGATCCCAGAAAGTTGAAACATTTTTCAACTTTTCATCGCTGTCGCTCGGACGAGGACCAATCAACGGAGGTTTCATTCACTGACCAATGAGCGGACAGGATGCTCCGCACATCTCCGAGCAAACATGGAGGAGAAGTTGATTATTATTATGTTTTATAGTAAATTCAGAAGTAAGATTTCACATAACTCTAGCAGCACCTTGTGAAACATCATATCTACCACTTTTTTTTAAACTCTGAACCGCTTAAATAACCTTAATTCCCTCCAACCTGACACAGCCAAACAAAACAACGGAAGTTTCGATTTCGCCATGGAACAGAACGCGTAGACGGCTTTGCCGCTACCGCAGATCGCCTCCCGTGTGCCAGGTAATAAAAGCGACAGCGACAAATTTCGCTGATCGCGGTCGTTTGTCGCCTCCCGTGTGTCGAGCCCATAAGTTGGCAACACTGTGGAGGAGCGCTTCATTTGCAACTCAGGGCAGCGCAAGTGGGAGGAGCAAATAATTGGCTTGTTTTGTTTTTATAATCGTTCAAAACATTTCATTCGGAATATATTTCTATGTCGATGTTCAGAATACGACACCAGATAGTCTGAAAAAAAAAACCTAATTTGGAAAAAATAATACCTCTGAGACCAAATTTAACACTTTTAATGGCCTTAAATTTGACTGTTTTTATTTATCACTTTTTAATACTTTTTAAAACCCCGCGGACACCCTGAAAATAGTTGACAACAGATCCTGGGTCAGTCAGGAGTGCTATAAAAATATGCAGCTTTGCCCTACAAATAGACATGATTTTTTCCTGATTGTTATTAATCCTAATCTTAATTGGGGCAGCAGTGGCTCAACAGGTTGAGCTGGTTGTCAAGGAATCAGAAGGTTGCGGTTTCGATCCCGGCTTTGGACAGAGAATTCTGCTGTTGTGTCCTTGGGCAAGACACTTAACCCACGTTGCCTTCTGGTGGTGGTCGGAGGGACCGGTGGCGCCTGCGCTCGGCAGCCTCGCCTCTGTCAGTGCGTCCCAGAGCAGCTGTGGCTACATCGTAGCTCATCACCACCACCAGTATGTGAGTGTGTGTGAAAGGATGAATGATACACTGTAGTGTAAAGTACTTTGCAGTCCTCACTCTGAAAGGTGCTATACAGGGAGTGCAGAATTATTAGGCAAACAAGTATTTTGTCCACATCATCCTCTTCATGCATGTTGTCTTACTCCAAGCTGTACAGGCTGGAAAGCCTACTACCAATTAAGCATATTAGGTGATGTGCATCTCTGTAATGAGAAGGGGTGTGGTCTAATGACATCAACACCCTATATCAGGTGTGCATAATTATTAGGCGACTTCCTTTCCTTTGGCTAAATGGGTCAAAAGAAGGACTTGACAGGCTAAGAAAAGTCAAAAATAGTGAGATATGTTGCAGAGGGATGCAGCAGTCTTAAAATTGCAAAGCTTCTGAAGCGTGATCATCGAACAATCAAGCGTTTCATTCAAAATGGTCAACAGGGTCGCAAGAAGCGTGTGGACAAACCAAGGCGCAAAATAACTGCCCATGAACTGAGAAAAGTCAAGCGTGCAGCTGCCAAGATGCCACTTGCCACCAGTTTGGCCATATTTCAGAGCTGCAGCATCACTGGAGTGCCCAAAAGCACAAGGTGTGCAATACTCAGAGACATGGCCAAGGTAAGAAAGGCTGAAAGACGACCACCACTGAACAAGACACACAAGCTGAAACGTCAAGACTGGGCCAAGAAATATCTCCAGACTGATGTTTCTAAGGTTTTATGGACTGATGACATGAGAGTGAGTCTTGATGGGCCAGATGGACGGGCCCGTGGCTGGACTGGTGAAGGGCAGAGAGCTCCAGTCCCACTCAGACGCCAGCAAGGTGGAGGTGGAGTACTGGTTTGGGCTGGTATCATCAAAGATGAGCTTGTGGGGCCCTTTCGGGTTGAGGATGGAGTCGAGCTCAACTCCCAGTCCTACTGCCAGTTTCTGGAAGACACTTTCTTCAAGCAGAGGTACAGGAAGAAGTCTGCATCCTTCAAGAAAAACATGATGTTCATGCAGGACAATGCTCCATCACACGCGTCCAAGTACTCCACAGCGTGGCTGGCAAGAAAGGGTATAAAAGAAGAAAAACTAATGACATGGCCTCCTTGTTCACCTGATCTGATCCCCATTGAGAACCTGTGGTCCATCATCACATGTGAGATTTACAAGGAGGGAAAACGGTACACCTCTCTGAACCGTGTCTGGGAGGCTGTGGTTGCTGCTGCACGCAATGTTGATGGTGAACAGATCACAACACTGACAGGATCCGTGGATGGCAGGCTTTTGAGTGTCCTTGCAAAGAAAGGTGGCTATACTGGTCGCTGATTTGTTTTTGTATTGTTTTTGAATGTCAGAAATGTATATTTGGGAATGTGGAGATGTTATATTGGTTTCACTGGTAAAAATAAATAATTTAAATGGGTATATATTTGTTTTTTGTAAAGTTGCCTAATAATTATGCACAGTAATATTCACCTGCACACACAGATATCCCCGTAAAATAGCTACAACTAAAAAAAAAACTAAAAAATACTTCCAAAAATTCAGCTTTGATATGAATGAGTTTTTGGGTTAATTGAGAACATGGTTGTTGTTCAATGATAAAATTATTCCTCAAAAATACAACTTGCCTAATAATTCTGCACTCCCTGTACAAGTGTGAGTCATTTATCATTCCCATAATCTAAGTATTTGTTCTCCAGACTTACTTTTCTCCTTCTCCACCTCCATCACTTGCTTCCGCCACTCATCAAAGGTGTGGAAGTCATCTTTACTTGGTACAGAGGTGTCGGCTGTTTTAACATCAGCCCCCACCATCTGAAACACAAACGCGTCTAAATCACTTACAGGAATACAAAGTATAGTCTCATTTAATTAGAAGATTCCTTTGCATGTCGTCACTAATAATATTCATGAAGCACATCGAGTCACAATAAGTGAGATTTTCATGCTCAGTTTATGGTGCTTGGCTCACTCCCGGCCACTTAAAACACTCAGATTCACTGAGCTGGGAGTAATATTTCTGATAATTATGTAAGTACCCTTTGGACCTCACAAGAGCGTCTGATCCGAAAAGTCCAACTCAGACACTCTAAACCCAAAACAACCAAACAAGAATCTGTGGCACACACAAACAGATTATTCATCCGATTCTAATAATTACATAAAACAAGCCTGCTCTTGGGCACATGTGCATTTTATAATCATTCAACCATGAAAGTTGCTAAATCCAGACCTAAGATATAAAACAGTCATATGTCTGCCAGATATACTCAAAGGAGATTCACACCCTGGTCTGAACGCTGTTAGCAGCTGAGAGGATGCTGTGCTGCCCGTTGACATGAGGAGTGAACACATTGATGGGTGTAGCTTTTCTTGCGTGCATGTAAAAACATGCAGGTTAGATAAAAGGGTGCTTCAATAACCAGCTGCTGGGTTTGCGTTACCTAAAAACAAGAAACGGCTTAACGTGAGATGCACGTGTGTGCCATGATGTAACCAACCTGCTGGTGATGGTGGAGGGAAATGTTGCCCTCCTGCACCAAACTGGAAAGCCCTTCTTCCAGCTCCTGTCGTTGCTGCTGCTTTGAGTCGGCCACCTCTGGATCAACCTGAACCTCCGTTTCCAAATCAGCACTCTGACCTGATGGCTGCTCCTCTGGCTCATCCACATTACTTCTCAGAGTCAATGAGTTGGATGAGGAGGAGAAACAAATGGGCAGGGGGGGGGGGGGGGGGGGGATAAGAAATAAAACCAATTAGTACAAGATATTATTAAACACATGGCGCATAAAAAAAATCACTTCATTGGATTGCCATTCATTGGAGCAGGCAAAAGAATGGGAAAAGTCAATTAAAACCAAACCAAATAAATAAATAAAAGCTAAAAGCAGAAGTAAGTGGAGTGCAAGGCCAGCAATTGACTGTTGAGCACAGCAGAAAGGTGTAGCTTGCACTCTGATTACCCATTTCTTTGCTTTGATCGACTTCTGATGGTTAGAAACTCACCTGAGGATCGGGCTGCCAAAAGGGGAGTTTTCACAGGTTGCCAGTTTGAGGGGAATGACCCTGCACTGTGAATCAGAGTGCTCAGCAAACACAAAGCTGTCTACTGGGAGTTCATCTCCTGCACTGGCAACCCACACTGCACTGAGGAAAAGAAAGGACATGGCATTTACCACATCTCCTTACACCGGGGAAGCCAGAGACAGGAGGACAGGGTCGGAGAGAGGAGGAAATGGGGGGAAGAGTAAACAAAGAGCAAGAAAAACAGAAGGCAAGGAGGGGAGAATACATGAAAGGAAGTGAAATGAGAGCGGGGATAGAAGTTTGCTCGTTGTGGGTGAGCTGAAGTGCCACAATGTCCCAAAGCTCAAAACACGTCGACAATTTTTTATTCTTCTTTCAAGCTCCACCCAGAGGATTTCATGTCCACTGATCAGCTTTCTCTGTCAGAAAATAAACATCTTTGTGCATCAACAGTCCCAGCTGGCCTTCCATTGAAAAAGGATCTCCTTGGAGGAGAACTATGAGGTTCTCTTTCACTTTGTGTTCAACTAGTTCTTTGCTAAAAAGAATAGTTAGAAAACTAAAAAGAACAAACGTAAACAAACACAAATATCCAAGTGAACGATGATTAGCATAACTTACCCTGTGTGGGCTGAGCCAGCGCTCTGTGAGGTAGGTACATGTTCAGCTTCATCAGGGGGTGTCTGCGAGTCTGGTTCCAGGCTGGGTTTACCAGGGATCTCTGCCTGGGGTAGATCATCTACTGACACATGGTCCAGAATTGGCTCTGATTCTGCAGCTTCCTGGTCATTGTGTGGTGTGTGTGTCTGCAGGTCCAAGTCTGCCTGGGGCTCCGGGGTGGGGGCTGGCTCAGGAACAACAGATGTAGGCTCTAACTCTGGTTCTGGTTCAGTCTCCCCTGTCCCAGCCTCCACTTGATTCACAGTCTGATGAAAGACAACAGAGAGGTCGGAGTGTTTCGTATCCTGACTTTAGACTTCTGCTGTTGAGTAAAACACTGGATGACAATAGTTTCTTTAGTATTGTGTGTGTGTGTGTGTGTGTGTGTGTGTGTGTGTGTGTGTGTACTGCCTTCCACTGAATGAAATCGGCTGTGTTTTATAACCAACGAGATGTAAAAATTAAAAGTTTGAAAATTAAAATGCAGTTTTCTGCTCACCTCATCATTTACCATCTTGTCTGATCTTTAAAATCCTTCTTCATAAAGAAATATAGTTTAACCTCGACTAGAAATAGTTACGCAGTGGTCGGTGTTTGCTCTTACCTGTTCACCTAGTGTGTTTGCTAGCTTCTCTGTCTCTAATCCCATTTCATATGATGTATGTGTCGTCCACTCTTCCACCGCCTGGAGGAAAGAGCAAAATATATCCAAATTCTCACTTGCATAACTTGATCATTGTTACTATTTCATTCATTTAAGTTACTGTTTCACTCAAAATGGTTCATGTCATTGTGAAAAAATATTAGATGCAGAGGGTGTTTTCCTGTGTGGATGTGAAGAGGCTCTGTGTTGTAGGACAAAGGCCACTTCACTAGGCTCATGACAGACTGCCAGGACTACTGGAACCCAAACAACCAAAAACCCACTTCTACAAATTCACATTTATTCTGACAACAAGTTACACAAACATGAAAAGCTGAAGGAGCTAGATCTGGCAAAGCCTCTGGTCGAAAGGGTCAAAAACAGACTATCTAACAAATGAAACATGAATGTGTAATTTGTCGAACTCGAGTGAATAAATAAATCACCTGTCTTCAAAGACAAAATTAGAAACTCACTTTAAAGTGACTCAAAAAAAGATTTATTTTTCTATTACCCTATTATTAATTTATTAGATAGTCTATACTTTCTCTGCTGAGATCTTACAAACACAAAAATTTAAACCATCGATCCATTTTCTACCATTGAACCGGAGTCGGGTCGCGGAGGCAGCAGCCTAAGTCGAGAGGCCCAGATTTCCCTCTCCCCAGCCACTTGGGTCAGCTCCTCCGGGGAATCCCTGGTCAGGTGAGAGACATAGTCCCTCCAGCGTGTCCTGGGTCTACCTTTAGGCCTCCTGGATGAACGTGCCCAGAAAACCTCACCAGGGAGACATCCAGGAGGCATCCTGACCAGATGCCCGAGCCACCTCAACTGACTCCTCTCGATGTGGAGGAGCAGCGGGTCTACTCCGAGCCCCTCCCAGATGACTGAACTTCTCACCCCATCTCTAAGGGAGACCCCAGCCACCCTGCAGAGAAAACTCATTTTGGCCGCTTGTATTCACAATCTCATTCTTTTGGTCACTACCCAAAGATCGTGACCATAGGTGAGGGTAGAAACATTGACCGGTAAATCTAGAGCTTTGCCTTCTGACTCAGCCCCCCCCCCCCCCCCCCAACAAATCGGCACAACACCCGCATCACTGCAGATGCAGCACCAATCTGCCTGTCGATCTCACGCTCCATCCTTCCCTCACTTGTGAACAAGACCCTGACATACTTAAACTCCTCCACTTAGGGCAGGACCTCATCCCTGATCCGGAGAAGGCATTTTAAACCAAAGACTTTTATTTTTTAGAACACAGGTCTGGGTTTAAAAACCTGCTATCTTATCATCTTTGATTGTAGACAGATTGTCCTCTGATTTTCTTTTAGAGGTCTAACATAGAAAGAGTTTATGGATTTTACCTTTTACCAGAAAAATCCATGTCTATATTCATCAAAACTTTTGATTCTTAGTGCGATGCCGTTTATCTAAATATTTAAACAACAGCTGACCTTTCAAAGGTTAATAATCCCAAGAATATTAGAAAATCCACTAAGGAATGTCTCAAGAAAGGAAATGAAGTATTACGGATGGACTTTGATTTGAATTCCAACATGTTTGAAGGATTTGGCAAAGGAAGAACAAACCTGAAAACAGAATGTTACAACTCAACGAATCATGAAAGGAACAGAGGTCAAAGGTCTCAGCAAAAACCTCCTCATAGAGCTAGTTATGCTAGAGAAGACAACACGAAACCAAACGCTGTAGTTGTCTTTTCCCCAGATCTACTAAGATTTTTTTTGAAGATATCATTTTAAATAAAAAATTTCCTATATTATTAAGTATTTACCAGGAGTCCTGACACCACTTTATTTTGATATCTACTCCTCAGTTCACTCCTCCTACTCGTTCAGCAGTCAGTGGGTTATAAAAGTGCTTGACCCGACTCCGAACATGCTCTAGGATTTCTGCAGCACCCTTCATCTCAGCGCCAGCACTATTAATACAGCTAACCATCCCAGAGCTGACACAGCAACAGTGGCTTCTCTGAATATCTCATTTAAGGTTGGCAAAAATAAATAATTTTAATAAAGGCTTGTGGGTTGAGTTGAACACAAATAGAGATGTGAGACTTTACTGCACCTGGTTTTGTGTGGAGTCCTGCTCCTGGCTGTCCAGGTCCTTGTCCTGGACAGCCAGGCCTGAGCCAGATGAGCTCTGCTCTGAACAATACACATGTTGACTGTGGTACCTAAAACACAGACAGAGGAACATTTCTTAGTTAATACAAGCCACATCATCATAGAAGGAAAACACTGTGCAGAGGGTTTTAATGACAAACAGCACGAGTCAAAGAATTCATCGCATCCTTCATCGTCAAAAGAAATCCGTCTCTCAGGGGAAGACATGAAACACAACATTTCTGAACGTGGACTGTGAAAGCAGCGAGATTTAGAAAACAACACAACAAGAGAACCAAAACCGAGCCCGACTGAGATTTAAACCATTCCAACAAAGTTTTTAAAAAGCATCAAAATAGCATCTGAAACACTCAAACCAAAGAAGTCTGAAACAAAACTGTGTGTATTTTTATAAGCAACACAGGGAAAAATCCCCCCCCCCCCCCACACACACACCTCTATTGGTTATCTTCTGCCCATCTTGTAAAAAAAGGAGGATGGAGGTTGAGTTACTGCATCAGTCCTTTCAGCTCCTTTTAAGTCAACCGGCTCCAGGCTAAGTGGGTCTGAAGGACCACTAGCCACCTTTTTTATCTCAACAACGAGGATCATTAGAAACAAACCACAAAAAAATCTGCTTCTTTACCAAAGAGAACCATCTCAGAGTGTTTATGGTCTTTAGAAACGACCTGTTGAAAACGTAGCCCACCTCTGCCATGACACAGAGCATGTGCTTTCTCACATACATAAATTAGACAGAGGACACGTAGAAGACGAGACTAGTCTAGACAAGTCTTATTCCAACTAGAATAAAAAACTGCTACGCTTTTTATTAAACAAGAAAAAAAAAACAATGGAAATTGAAAAATCTCATGATTTAATAACTATTTTTGTCTCCAGCACCAGAAAGAGTGCTGACCCAAAAGAAACCGAAGAGAAATTCATACAGCATCACAACAGAATTCCCAGTTTCTTAAAACAGGAAAATTATGTTTGATTTACAGGCAGACGTGATACCAATTGGTGGCCAGCTAAATTATTCTGGTCTGAGAGGTCCTCCGTCGGCCGACTGGAATAAAGCGTATAACCGCATACAGCAAAACTAGGCTTACTTTGGTATTTTTAGGCCCTGGCAAAAAAATCAAACCTCGTAGATTATAAAAAAGTGGTGATAACAACTTGGAGAATGATATAAAAATTTCAGTTGCATCAAAAAAACACCAACCCAGCACAGAAAGAAAGCACACTCTCGAACTAGAATAATAATCATTTGGTAATCAGATATCAGCATCAGGAGAGAGCTGCACATGTGGACACCCATGTTAGCACCTTGTCAGCGCTGCAGTGCTGAAGGACAGGAGGACTGAGCATGCATATCAACAACCACTAAAATATGACCGTCTGTACAAATTGCCTCTCCAACTGTGGTCTATTTATTACCATCTGAGGTGATAAAAATGCTGAGACGATGTATGACAGCAACATCTGGCTAACTACTAGGGATGAGCGAGTACACCACTAGCTGTATCTGTATCTGTACTCGGAATGGGCGTGGCATAACCCAGAAGTGGGCGTGGTTTACATCAATGTATTATTTTAAGTCTGAAATTGATATGGATTGATCAGAAGTTGATATGTGTATTGTTTATTTTAATACTATTTACAGAGCAGCCTCAGAATTGAGATAAAATATTTTTGATCACAATAGTAAAGAAATTATTACAGAACAAGTGTTTCAATAAAATCAGAACATTAATATTTGAGTGCATGGATTAATGCATCTGAACTCATGCAGTAGGAACTAGGAAATATGAAATGCTAGAACCAGACACAACTTTATGTATATATTTGTTTTAATTTGATTAAACAGATTTTTTTCTTAACGTTCTTGGCATTTTGCCACACAAAGTTAAACAAAACAATGTTGATTAAGGTGTGTGTGTGTGTGTGTGTGTGTGTGTGTGTGTGTGTGTGTGTGTGTGTGAGTGAGTGAGTGAGTGAGTGAGTGAGTGAGTGAGAGAGAGAGAGAGAGAGAGAGAGAGAGAGAGAGAGAGAGAGAGGAGATCAAAAAAATAAAAAACCCGACCGGAGCGGAGGTAGTGACAACAGCACGTCAGCTCTGTCTTGTCAAATGCACCATGTCAGTTACGAAAAAAGTAACTTTAAATATTCAACCGAAAAAGAGGCGAGCTGAAGAAAACCTGGGGAAAACTGAAGAAACGTGAGCAACAGTGAAGCAAGCACAGCGAGATCCGTTACTGTCTGTGTCTGTGTGTGTGTGTGTGTGTGTGTGTGTGTGTGTGCGTGGATGAGCCAGACGGACTGCGCTCCCGGCCGGCTAGAGAGTTTTGTGTGTAGGGAGGGGCGGGCATTCTATGTGACTGGCCAATCACAGAGCATGAAGACAGTCAGTTACCCAATGAGGATTTTCCTTCAGCACGATTACAGATATTGACTCGTTTTACTAGTTTCATGCTCGTATTCATCAAAAATGCTTTATCCATACCGGCTCATCCCTACTAACTACCACATTTTTTTAACATTACAGTGACTGTAAACTACTTGAGATTTATGAACAAATGACATCCTAAAATGATTATACGTTCATCTCAGTGATAAAGCTAATGGTACTCCGTTTGACAGCTCATTCGCCAAAATGATTACAAAATGATTTTTACTACTTCTGAGAAGCTTTCAAAGCTGTGCTGCAAGAAAATAACGTACATTAGAGAAAGCATCAATCTTTTAGCTGGTATATCAACAAGCTTGCCGAAGCCCTCATCATTCTGACAGAAATACAGAAATTCCCAAGCAGGTGATGATCAACAGTTAGGTCTATGCTGGAAAATTATTAGAAATAGTCAGTACATACAATACAATATCATTTTAAATCTTCTTGTATTACTCATCTCTTAGGGATGTACATAGTTAACCGGTTAACTGCCGTAAAGGTCATAACCGGTTACAACAGCGTTGCCCGATTAATTGGTGTTAACTAGTGAATAGTGATGTGTCAATGAATCAAATCTTTTGAACAGGTTTTTAAAGTGAACGATGAGAGCAGAGTCCCTGTAGAGAACTGTTCATCTTGTGTTCAGTATCAAAGGTTTATGTTGCAAGACCGTCAATATTGACCCTTTAGGAATGAAATTAAGTGCACCTGCTGTTTATTTAGCTTCCAGACCAACTTTTGATGCTTCATATTCTATTGTTCAGCACCAATAAAAGGTATTTACTCTACGTTTGTTGCTAAAATATTAGGCCCATACATTCATAATGACAAGAACCAAATCAAAGCTCATAATTAATGCCACACCAGATAGTTCTCAAAAAAGCCTCAAAGGGAATGAGGGGCACCTGAAATCCCAACAGTCTACACTCATGAGTAACTGCACGAGCCACTGGCTGGTGTAGACTCCAGGCTAAACTTAGCCTTTACGCTTTACTGGGTTTCAAATGCTTACTGTGTCTTACATCAGCCTTGGACACTGAAGCGTGTAGAAAGTCTTTCACTGGATGTGTCATCTGGTTATGCAACAGACTGAGGACGAGATGATTAATTGTAACAATGGTGATGCTGTTATTAGATATTTTGTAGTGAATATATTGATAAAGTCATAGTTTGAAGTAATCAGATTACTGAACCACTGACCTGGCTTTGCTGCTACTAGACGTTTTGTTGTCCAACAGTGTGGATCTTTGTACTTTGAGGCTTATTTTAGCATCAGCTGCCTCATGTTAGCGTTAGCTCAATGTTAGCACTAGCAACAACAGGTTGCGGAAGGGTCATTTACGACTTTTGAAATTCCACTTTCAACCAGCAGGTTGAATGATTAAAACAACCAATTCTCACATAAATATTTAGGCCGTATAAATATTTATTCTAGTAGAGTTAATGATTTTTTAAATTTATTTTATTTACTAAAACATTCATTTTAATGTGACAAACCCCAAATCCATGTTCAAGAAGAAGAGACACAGAGAAATCTGCTCTATCTTTAGGTTGCTTTAGAAATTTCTAATTACTGTTTGGTCTAAAAAAAAATCCATAACTTCCAAAAACGTGGAAACTGTTTCAGATTCAGCAAAAATAGTTTTGAAGACACTGGAGCGGGATGGGTGTCACACCCTGTCCTGTCTCCCCATTCTGTTCAGTCCTGTGTCCATGTTAATTACTCCCACCTGCCTCTCGTCTCCCAATCACCCAAGGTCCCAGCTCCTCCTGTACTTAAACCCTGTTAGTCCATGTTGTCTGGTTGGCTCATTGTTTCATTGTCCTGCGTGCTCCTGATTAAATCCTTGTTTTAAATGTTCCTGTCTGCCTGCCTGCCTACTTTCTCACCCGCGTGTGGATCCTCACCTCCATTTCACTCACCGGCACGCTTGTGATAATGGGCAGACAAACAGAACTATCCTGCATGTTTTAGATGTTTTTCCACTCCAACAATTTAACAAACTTATTTAGTGTTGCTTCAATACCTGAACATATGCCCATACCAGTTTATATCAAGGTTCCGGGTAAAGGCCAAGTTGTACACTAAAAAAATGCAGTAAAATCTTAAGTTGCTTGCAGGCCTTCAGTGTCTCAGATAAGTAGAAAGCTTGTGTAAACATGTGTGTGACTAACAGATCAGATACCAGAGCACAGGTTTAGGTGAACACGTCGTCAACTACACTATTCCTATGAACTTCCGGGATGATGAACACAAATATGACGACTTCAATAACGTGACTCACTGAACCAACGTTCAGCTTAAACGTACTGGTTTAAGAAGTACCATTCTAAATATGCAAATGAAGAGGGAAAACCCCTTTGGGGATTAAAACCATAAAAATGTTCATCAAGAAGAAACATGTAAACACATCTGTTCAACAAGCAAGCTTTGACTTAACAGAGTGTTATTTTACTCTCTTCAGAGTCATTTCCTTGAATAAAACTGAAAATCTGCCAAATCCGACATTCCCCCGAGAAGGTGAAAAGAAGGAAAGCCAGCAATGAAGGAAAAAATAAAAAGCAGGAGCCAATCTGAGTGGCTCTGCTTCAGGGGTGTATTCAGGGAACTGACCTAGC